AAGTTCTTCCCTGTGAGGGTGCTGAGGCACTGGTACAGAGTGCTCAGAGAAGCTGTGGCTGCCCCATCCCTGGCAGTGCTCAAGGCCAGGTTGGACACAGGGGCTTGGAGCAAGCTGCTCCAGTAGAAGGGGTCCCTGCCCATGGCAGGGGTTGGAACTGGAGGAGTTTTAAGGTACCTTCAACCCAAACCAGTCTGATTCTATAAAGATGAAAGGATGTTTGATGCCTCTTATGTTAGGGTGGTGAGGCACTGGAATAGGTTGCCCAGGAAGGTTGTGAATGCTCCATCCCTGGCAGTGTTCAAGGCCAGGTTGCACGAGGCCTTGGGTGATATGGTTTAGTGCGAGGTCTCCCTGCCCATGGCAGTGGGGGTTGGAACTTGATGATCCTAAAGTCCTTTCCAGCCGTAACTATTCTGTGATTCTGTGTGGCATCATTCAAATCTGTAAGTGTGTTCTGCCCTGCATGCTGTTAGGTTCTCTGTGGGACATGACTCGGGGAGAGGGAAGGCAGCCCAGCTGTTCAGCAGCAGCCTGGTGCTGCTTCTTGCTTTGCATGGGTGCTTTGGCACCGATTGTCTCATATTCTTTTGTCCTGGAGTCTGAGTGCTTATGATCTGGTGTCCATCGCCACTGTTGACACTGGCAACGGAATAACTGGATGCTGGTGTATAATCCATTTTCTGTGGGACTTCTGGGATGACAGGAGCCCTCCAAAGAAACTGCAGCTAGCCAGAGTTGGGGTATTGACAAGTTTATACAGTTTGAAATGCAGAATTGACGGCAGCCTTTCCCATTTAAAACCTGCCTGTGTTTCAGCTTCAAGACATTCCAGCAGCTGCGTTTTCTGTTGGAAGAGTGGAGCATGATGATCTTTTAATCACCTCTGTGTTGTTCCTCTAGCTGCTTTATGCCATTAGCCAAATCCTAACTGAGGAGCATGGCTTTCTGTGTAGAGGTGTTTGTGAGAGGAGATGGATAATGCTGTGTTCATCCACAGGGCTGGGATTTGACCAGGCTAAGTGTGGTACCCAAGAGAAGATTGACAATAACTGAGGTCCCTGGGTAGTCAACTGGAAGAGGTTGGCACCTCCCAGCTCCTTCCACTGGTGATACAGAGAAGGACAGCTGTGTTCCTAACTTGACACAGGCATGAGTCCTGACATTAAGCAGGAAGTATCAGAACCTGGGGGAGGAATCCTCAAACACAATTAGAACTGCAACACCGCCAGTGGCAGTTTGTGATCACCTCTAATGCCAGGTCAGGTGTGTTGGACTAGAAAGCAGCAGGAATAGGAGGTGCTGCTTTCCTCTGAACTGTCAGTTGCTGTCTCTGTGTTTAGTGTTTTGGGTGTTGGTTTGTATTTTGTTGGTGGTTTGGTTTTTGAGGCTTGGGCTGCGTTCATCACAAAGGTGTTTGTGTGAAGGAGAAAGGAAACTGGAAAGAGGCATAAAATATATTGAAAATCCACAGCTTTCTTTCACAATGCTTGATTTCAGGCAGAGCCTTGTGAGTGCTGATTCCAGCTGCTTGTGTAGCTGAAAACTTTGCAGGTCCAAGTTTACTGGTGCAGCTCTGGCCTTTGCACGAGGGACCTGTGTCCCCTGTTAGGAGGCCCTAGAATTGTAAGGATTTTCAATCAGTAGCTCTACACTGCTTTATGAGTTCTACAGAGTAAGCCGTTTGATTTTTTGGAGGTACATAGGCATTCACATGTAAAAGTGCAGTGAATATGTTAGACAAGCATGCTGAAGTGAAAAGGAGAAATTATGGAGAAAGGCTTATTAAGCACTTTCACTTCAGAGAAAGGAAGCAAGATCAGAAGGTGAGTGGGGTGCTCTGTAGAAAAGTATCCTGAGGGAGGTCTCTTTCAAATCCATAAGGCTAATCTTTAAAATACCAGCTTTTGCTAAGAAATTAGCTGAATGCCTGATCTTCCAAGGGAATAAACCTCTTTCAAGAGCAGCAGTGTGTGCTAACACTGGCAACATGGTAATGTTGGAGGGGGGAATTGCCGGAGTATGGTTCCAAGTGGTTTAGGGTTTGATTTAACATTCAAAAGAGCCTGAGGATGTCCACAATTAGGATTAAAGACATAGAGCAGTCGTAGTTCACCATGAGGTCTGCTAAAACAGAATGCCAAAAAGGCGGTGTACATCAAGCTCTGATGATGAAGTGGCTTTTATACATGCAAGACCTGAGTCTTGGTTGCTGTTTTACAACAAAACTCTGATGCCTCACATCCTGTATTCCAGTCAGAGTTTTTTCAATCAGATGCTGATTATTCCCACCCTGTTAATCAGGGACTGGGGAGTGAGTCACACAAAGGTCCATGCTGGAAGTAAAAGGCTTGATGCAAATTGATGCAAAATTAGTGATTTCAGGTTGGGAGGGACCTCAGGATATCTCTGATCCCAACTGCTGTTTCATGTGGGTTCAGCGTAGGGTTCACAGCTCAGGCCCTTCTCCAGTCAGGTCTGGATACACTCAAGACATGGGCCCATGCAAACTTCATGAGGTTCAACAAGGCCAAGTGCAAGGTCCTGCCCCTGGGCTGGGGCAATCCCTGCTATCAACACAGGCTGGGAGGGTGAATGGGTTGGGAGCAGCCCTGAGGAGAAGCACTTGGGGGTGTTGGGTGAGGAGAAGCTCCCAATGCCCTGGCTTCAGTGTGCGCTTGAGCCCAGAACCCTCCTGTGCTGGGCTGCATGCTCAGAGCGTGAGCAGCAGCTCTGGGAGGGGATCCTGCCCCTCTGCTGCGTGAAGGCGAGACCTGAGAGCAGCTCCAGTGCCTAAAGGGGCTGCAGGGAACCTGGAGAGGGGCTTAGGACAAGGGCCTGTAGGGCCAGGCCAAGGGGAATGGCTTGAACCTGCCCGAGGGGAGACTCAAACTAGATACAAAGAAGAAATTTTTTGTAATGAGAGTGGTGAAACCAGGTAGCCTGGAGGCGCAGTAAATGCCCCATCCCTGGCAGTGTTCAAGGCCAGGTTGGACAGAGCCTTGGGTGACGTGGTCTAAAGTGAGGCATCCCTCCCCATGGCAGGGGGGTTGGAACTAGATGATATTAAGGTCCCTTCCAACTCTAACTGTTCTGTGATTCTAATGAGTGCCAAGTAAGGGGGATTAGCAGTGTTCCTGTCCTCCTGACTGTGTTCCTGTTACTGGGACTCGGGATGCTGTGGGCTTCCTCTCGATGTGCAGTTTGCTCTTCAATGGGACTCCAGCGTGGCAGGGCTGCTCCCCAGCCAGTCCTTAGGGGACTGCCCATGGGCTTTGCTAGCAGATGCTTGATAAACTCCCCAGCATCTCGGGCTACTGCTGGCTGGTGCTGAGGCAGCAGAAACCTTTCTGTATGGGGCAGCAGCATAAATGCATTTGGGTAAGAAAGAGCAGGTCAGAGCTGAACCTAGAGCCCAGGCCCTGTGGAGCACTGCAGGTGCCTGTGTCTGCCAGACCAGTGGCAGACCTGGTCACTGAGCACAGCCATCTACTTGGCATTAATTTCTTCAGCTCATCAGGTTTGAAATGTCCCAAGGCATTTGAATTCATTGGGGCCCAGTGTCACAGTGAGCACCAGAACGCAAGAGCAGGTGAACTGTACTTGGGTACTTTTAAGGGATGAACTTGCTCACATAGGCATTTCAGCCAGTTCTGGTATGCCAGAACATATCTGGAGACCAGCCGTCAGCTGAAAAGAAACCACCTGTAGAAGCTGTAAGTGAGTGCAGAGACCTTAGGCTAACAGCACTGGTGATGCTTTTTGCTCTAGCATAAGATCAGAAACATCCAGCTTGGATTCCAGGGTTAGTACCAGGTGATAGCTTGACTTCGCGAACAAAGATTTGGGAAGGGCTTTACCCACGCTTGCTACAAGTGTGCTGATGACTACAAAGGCCAGCGTGGGATAGGCAAATCCGGTTGCAAAAAGCACAGTGAAAGTTCTCCTTGCGTGGTATAGGTGAGGCACGATTCTTTCTACGTTGTCTTTTCTCCCTGAGACTAATTCTCCTCTCAAAGGAGACAACAGTGTTATGTATGGTGTGTCTCCAAGTCTCCCGATTGGAGGCCAAGGTGGACGGTAGTCAGTATGGCCAAGGCTAAGGTATTGTTTCAGGGAGTCCTTATGTCTCCTCTCTGGGGCACTTCTCTTGTGGCAGCCGGTGGCGAGTTCACCATAAAACACCATCTTGGGGAGGCGGTGATCCTCCATCCTGGAGAGGTGCCCTGCCCAGCACAGCTGCCATTTCAGCAATAAGGCCTCGATGCTGGTGACCCCTGCCTGTTCAAGGACAGTAACGTTTGACACACTCAGTCCACTGGATGGTTAGAATTGTACGGAGGCAGCGCTGATGGAAGTGTTTGAGGAGCTGCAGGTGATGGTGGTAAATAACCCATGATTCACACCCATATAAAAGAGTAGACAGTACAATGGCTCTATAGACACTAATCTTTGTACTTTTGTTCAGGTGTTTATTGCACCAGACTCTTTTATGGAGTTTTCTGAAGGCTCTATATGCCTATGCAATACCTATATGCCTATATTACCAGGTATACAATGCTGATTAAATGTGTTTGGGGGATTCTCCAAACATGACTTTTAATGTGTTCCAGTTCTGAAGCTAGCCTTTCAAAAAGCAGTTGCTGAGGTTTATGAGTGTCTATCTTGTAGTGCTTAGGGGAGATGGGAGCCAGCAAATAATCATCTTATAAGCCTTTATCAGAAGGAAATGCAAGCTGCTTTTAAACATTTGTGTCTTAGAGGCAGTGGGAAATGTGATCAGATTTTCAAGTGCAGCCTGGCTGAGGCAAGGCCCCAGGATGTATCGTGTCTGGCTTAGTAGAGCTGTGCTCCACATCTGAGAGAGCCAGTGAGTGGTTTCCCCATCAGAGTACATGGAGGCAGTTACACTGTTCACCATTGTGCCCCAGTTGGGAGTGTGAATTAATGATGGCCTTGATGTTTTCATTATTCTTAAAGAGATTGCAATGGTGTTTCAGATCCCAAAGAAGAGAAGGAGGAGGAGGAGGTCTCCAGTGTCCTCAGCCATGGCTCCCCTGTCAGCACAGCCAGGCCCAGCAGGAGCTGGCGCAGCAGCAGGGCAGCCACTGTGGCCCGCCAGCGGGACACTGAGAACTCACGTGCCTCCAGATCCAAGACGGGCTCCCTGCAGCTCATTTGCAAGTCGGAGCCAAACACAGACCAGCTTGAGTACGGTACGTGAGGAGCCCTGGCATGAGAGCACCTGGAAAGAGTCAGGTCTTGGGCAGCTTTGAAGGGAGCTGAATGTGGGTGTAACGTTGTGAGCTGTATGCAGACTGTGGCTGGTACAGGTGTGGTGCTGCTTGGTCATGAGTACCTTCTGCCACCAGCACTCCTGGCACTGAATGTCGACGGAGGTATCTTGAGACAGATGAGCTCACTGCAGCGAACACAGATTGAAACCTAATGGTGACTTTTCCTTTCAGAGGTCACAGAAGAGCATCAGTCTCCAGCTGGAGTCAGGTAGGAAATTCTTATTTTGTGACATTTCTTCCTCTTTAATGTCTCAAGAAGTTAAAATAAGGGCCTGAGGTTTTTTTCATAATAAATGCTTCTGTGAGCGGGTCTGCAGATGGAGAGTAGCTCTGTTTTCATTCAGTCGTGGACCTTTGTATTTTCAGCCTGGCTTGCAGATGGACTGTAGATGCCAGGAGATACTGTGGAGAAATTGATTTTAAGATTTACTCTGAGCACTCCACCTGGTAGCTTTATTCCCTCAGGAGCAGAAGCTCTAGTTAGGTGGGTTCAGAAGAGGAGGCTGCTCTGCCTAGCTTTGTCTGTTTTGGCTGTCATGTTCTTAGTCAGTGCAATCTGTTGGCTTTCCCCAGTCATGCTGGGTGCGAAAGTGCTGTGTAATAGAGTCTTTCCCATCCCGAGGGATGATGCATGAGTATTACTGCAGTAGTGCTTAAGCTGTTACTGCTAAAGTCCTTCTCTTTTTTTTTGCCAGCAGTGATGACGAGGAGGAGATGCTCATCAGTGAGGAAGAAGTTCCCTTCAAAGATGATCCGAGAGATGAAACCTACAAGCCCCATCTAGAGAAGTAAATCACTTGATTACACACTTACTGTGGGTTTAGACAAAGAAAAAGTACATCTTAGTTGAATGAGCTCAGTACTCCCCAAAGAACCTGAGAAGCTGCTAAGGTGGAATGGCTCCCCCCGGGCACAGTATTTTCTAGATACTGTCTACAGGTATGGGTCTGTTCTTGTCCAGTGGACTACAGCCTTCAGAGCCATTCTGTCTGCCAGGTTCTTCCTTTTTTCTCCTTAGAAGTGGGACTTGATAAATAGACCTGAACTTTTATCCCCTTTTTGCTTTAATCTTTGTGCAAAACAGACAATGGGAGGAGTATTGGAGCAATGCATTGTATTTGTATCTTTGTAGGGAAACACCAAAGCAAAGGAGAAAAGCTAGCAAAGGGAAGGAGGAAAAAGAGAAACAGAAAGAAATTAAAGTAGAAGTAAAAGAAGAAAGTGAGTTTCGGGAAGATGAAGAACCACCAAGGAAGTGAGTAAAACTCTGCAGTTACATGTAGCAGTGTGTCATATATATTTTATACTCTTGCTAGTGTACAACAGTTGTTGTGGTGGTTTTCTTTCCTCCTGGCCTGGGCAGAATCTGTTGTTCTGATAGAAGTCCTGCTTCCTGGTATCTTGGCATGTTCAACAAGGAAAAATGGAGTTGATATTTCCATATAGTTTAAGCTGAGGGTTTTCTCCATACTGTGGTTTTTGTCCCCTTCCTGGATATGGCCACACAGTATGAAATACTTTAGATCATTCTTAAAATCGGTTTCTGCTGTGATGTGTGAGATGGATTAGACTATATTGGAAAGCCAGTTGGAGAAGACAGCGTCTCCTCTGTTCTGGGCCTAGAGGGAGACACGGGAATATTCTGTAAATGTCCTCTTTGTACGTTTGGGACCATTTTACCAGGGTTCAGGAGAATCAGCAGTGTTCCTCTGGCTTTGGAGAACAAACTTTTGCTGCCTGGTCAGTCACTAGTACTTTGAGTGGAGACTTGAAACCTTTAGGAATGCTGGCTCTGGAACTTTCATCTGGCAATTGAGGTAGATTGGATTTGCGGGTCAAAGCCACTCCTTGGGATGGGGTAAGCAGGTTTTGTACTTGTAGCTCCTGTGCGAGCCGTTGGAACAAACGGGGCTCCATCTGCTGGTATGTGCAGTGGGCTCTGCTGCTGCAGAGCTGATCCCACTGGGGAGGGGTCAGGTGCTAATGGCATTTTGAGAACTGGTTTGGTTTTTATTTTCCTGCTAGAAATGGCTTTCTGAGCCTCATGCTCATGGTGCTTGGCTCAGACGCTACTTTTGTACATAATAAAACCTGTGCCTCTTCTGAAGGCTTGGCTTGAATGCTGAGTGCCAGTTCAGCGTGTTACTGGCTTGGTCTTGCTATCAATAAAGATGTCTGAGTACAAGGTAGGAAAGACTTCCATCAACCTACTGGTAATGTCTGTGCAGCAATATGATCTGGCAGGCGTGATGTTCTGAGCAGGGAGCATCTTACATAGGTCTGCTCAGACAAGATGGATTTTTTGTCTTGATAGATGTATAAGCTTCTATAGTTAATTCAGAACACTATAAAAGAGCTGCTAGATCATTCATCCCATTCTTCCCAGTCATGCAGATTGATGTTTTTCATGTGGTATGAAACCAAACGAAGCAGAGAAAATGAGGTGCACCATTAATTTTGGACTGTGCTGGTAAAATTACATGTTTATAAAAACTGCATTAGGAAGTGAAGTGATAAAGGGTTGTGAGAGCAAAGCACATAAGCATCTCTTTCTCAAGAAGGCTGTCTTCATCTGAATCTGCCTCCAACTTGTACTTGATGGATCTTGCAGTAGCTCGCAGCTCATGAGGCAATAGCTTGCTACCTGTTTGGAGCAGAAACTGAGCAGAGCAGAATCTTGTGTGCTGATGCACAGCCTAGAGAGGGATGAATTTAATGACAAGGGTGCAAGTTGCTCAGACAGTTGAGGTTTAAAAGAGAAAATGTGAAGGGTGTGATGCCTGGTGGAGGCTTTTTTACAATATCCCTTCCACTCTCCATGGTGGCACAAGGGTTGGTGGCTTCTGACCGCAGCCTCTTGGGTTGTGGCTGTCCCACAGCCACGCAGATTCCAGTGGACAGGTATCAGTGGTCAGCTGAGACACATCTGAGCCAAGCAAAAACATTCAGCAGCATAGTATGCCAGACCATGCAGCTGCAGCCTCACTGTTGGCATAGGCAGTGGGATTTGAGGTCGGAATCCAGGTATCGGACACGTGGGGACTGCAGCCCCACAGGAGGGTGCTCTGTGGGGTGTGGCAGTTCTGCAAGGTGCAGGGACAGTTTGCATGGAGGCCTGGTTACCCCACTTCTTTAGGGAACCTGCCCAACTATTGCAGGAGTGTTTCGTTAGCAGCTCTGGAGTGTTGGGAGCTGGAGCAGGTGCTGACTTGCCATGTGCAGTGTTACTTCTCAGCCTGGGAGGGTGGAAGAGTTCCATAGTATTTCTTGCAGCATGCTCCTGCTTTGTAGCATGCACTTCAAAAACTCTGCCTGCCACCAGTGTAGGGTCTTTCAGTTCTGTTTCTGTAACCCTGTTGTAGGAGAGGAAGGAGGAGAAAGGATGACAAGAGCCCAAGGCTTCCCAAGAGAAGGTGAGTGATCCTCTCTGCTCAGTTCTGTTCTGAAGACGTGCGTCTCTTGTGTCCTGCACAGAGATGTTGATTGTCTCAAAGCCATCCCTCCTGAACAGTATAGAAGTCTGCTTTGAAGGTGGAGAAGCAGTGTGCTTTGTCTTCCCTTCTTCAATTACCCCTTCTCCCTGTAGTTGTGGGCTTTTGATTTCTTCCAACTGAACCAGCCCCTCCCACCTTCTCCTGACTTCACTTCTGAGTTCATCCCCTGCTGGGCATTGCCCAGTGAAAGGTTTGGGAATGCTGTGTCTCCTGGAGTTTTCTCAGCTCTGGAGAGAGTCCTCAAGGAGGGGAAGGAACTCTTGGACAGAGTCTATAACAGCACAGCCCAAACAGGAATATCGGAGCAATAATCCCTTGCTCTCACGTCATGGAGCTGCACTTGCGCTTGTTTCTCTTGCTGCTGCCCTGGCTTCAGACCCAGGAGTTAACAGGGGCCCATTTCCTCACTGCCACTTTAGGAAGAAGCCCCCGATACAGTATGTGCGCTGTGAGATGGAAGGCTGCGGCACCGTCCTGGCTCACCCACGGTACCTGCAGGTTCGTTGACATTCCTCAGCTCCCAAATGGTGTGAGGGCAGGGATGGGCCACTGGAAACCGGCAGCTAACCCTTAACCCAGCACTGAAGGCTTGGTTCTGATGCTGTCCTTTTGGTAGACTTAATCAGTTGTGGCCACGTGTGTCTCTATCTGTCCTGTTGCTAGATGTCCACATCAGTTTGGCTTTCTTCTCTCAATGGAGATCAAAGCCTTTGTGTTCATGGTACAGGGGTGTCTTGTCAGCGACTGGAGTCTGGTAGCCTGCTGAGGGGTTCCAGCTGTCCTCTTAGACATGTAGAGAGAGTGTACAACCTTCCACTCTTTCTTTATAGCATCACATAAAGTACCAGCACTTGCTGAAGAAAAAATATGTGTGTCCTCATCCCTCCTGTGGTCGGCTCTTCCGACTCCAGAAGCAGCTTCTGCGGCATGCCAAGCACCACACAGGTACAGGGAGGTGGGAAATGGATACAGACTGCTCCCTGGGACAGTGAACAAAGAGGGGAGGAAATGGAAAAGCCCAGAGGCTAGAGGATTTCTGGGGAGCATGAAGCCAAGGCAGATGGCATAGATGTGCATCGGCAGCAGGGTGTTACTTTCTTCTGGATTACAATCTTTATAGCCTGTTTGTTTTGTATTCTTAAAGAGTTTTTAGTTCACCCCCTGGCAAGTATCACTTGGGAGTTCTGTAGAGTAATAAAACACTCCAGGCTTTATCCTAACTTGCCAGTCCTGCAGTATCGGTCAAGATGGATAATTGGCTTTTAGGGGAGCCTTAATCATGTGTCAGCTATCCAGATGAGCTGCTGTGGTATACTGTGGGACTCCTCCTTTGCTATGCCTGCTGGCTTCCCAGCACTTCTGGTTCTGCTGCTGCTTCAGCAGCTTCACCTGCAACATGGGAGAGCTTGAAGGGGAGCAGGTCTGTAGGAGAGTAATGCTCCAACTGGTATTGCTTTTTAGATCAAAGGGATTACATCTGTGAGTACTGTGCCCGGGCGTTTAAGAGTTCTCATAACTTGGCGGTGCACCGAATGATCCATACGGGCGAGAAGCCTTTGCAGTGAGTACTTCTGCCTGTCTCTTGCTATCCTACTTGGAGGGACCCTTGGATACACCTGTTCACAGACTCCACTGAGAGCAAGGGTGGCTCTGAAGTCAGGGCTGGAACTTGTTCCTGGTGTCCGAGCTCTCCTTAAACACACACCTAAAGGAGTGTTTGAGCTGCCCCTTCTCTTACGTACTCCTTGAGTCAGTGTCTCAGGAGAGATCTGAGGAATATAAACCCTCGACAAATTAAAACTGGAAGAGCTGGAGCTACCGTGACATCCTAATTTAGTGAGCCCTGGCTGTTTTCCTGGGCTGCCTCACTGCTCTCCTGCTCCCACAAGTGGGTGGGCACATCCCTTTGTTGTGACCTCCCCTTCTCCCCTCCCAGGTGTGAGATCTGTGGATTCACGTGCCGGCAGAAGGCTTCCCTCAACTGGCACATGAAGAAGCACGATGCGGACTCCTTCTACCAGTTCTCCTGCAACATTTGTGGCAAGAAATTTGAGAAGAAGGACAGCGTCGTGGCCCACAAAGCCAAGAGCCACCCTGAAGTGCTTATTGCGGAAGCACTAGCTGCCAACGCGGGTGCCCTCATCACCAGCACTGACATCCTGGGCACTAATCCTGAGGCCATTGCGCCGCCCACCGATGGGCAGGGCCTGCCCCTGCTTCCTGACCCCCTGGGAAGCGCTGCCCCTGCAGATTGCCTGCTGCTCAATCCCGATGGGATGCCCAAGACGTTCTGCGGTGCGGCCGAGCGTGTGAGCCTGGTGGCTGACGGGAAGCTCTTTGTGGGCAGTGGCAGCAGCACAAACCCCGAGGGGCTGGTCATGAACACCGAGATCCTGGGAGCCACCGCTGAGGTGCTCATCGAAGATTCAGACTCCACTGGACCCTAGTGGGCGGGAGCAGGCGGGTGCTGGGACAGTTTGGATTCTGTATTTAAAAGGAGGAGAAAAGAGAAAGGAAAAAAAAAAAGACACAGAAACAGAGCAAATCTAAACAAATCTCACAATTCTAGTAAAGAACTGAAGGGTCTGCTCCCCTCCAGCTTGGATCACAGCACATCCTCTTTCTCCCAACCGCTGCTCTCTCCCACTACCCCTTTGCAGAAAGGGGCACATGCTGCCATTGCCAGAGCAAGATGGATTGAGTGACATATTTCTCCAAGGGAGGTGGGGGGGGAGAAACGGCTGAAGCCCTTCCTCTAGCCCAAAGTAGATGCCTTTCTGGCTCCTTGATGTGGCCCTGTTTGCAAATTAGAAAGCATCTGATGTGCTCTGGACAGGTTTCTTAGGACTCCCTCTTGCCCCTGGTCCCAACTTCTATGCATCGCTGCACTCTGGTCCTTGCAGTCTCTTTCTTCCTCCTGGGGCTGGGAGTTTGGTTTGGCACTTTAGGCCCCTCACGTAGCAGGGTGAGCTGTGGAACAGGCACATCCCTCTCCCCACCACGCTTCTCTGCTCCAGCTCTGGCAGGAAATGGAGGGAACGCCCTGGCTCATAGATCATGTTTGCTTGGAGAGGCCCGGGGGCTACGGGAGCCCTGCGTGGGAGAGGCGAGGAGGAGCATCCCAGTTTGACGACAGTAATTTGCACTTTGAACATGCTTCGTTTTTGTGTTGTGGTAACAAGATTCGTTATTTATTGATTAAAAAAGGGTCGGTATTCTTTAGTTATGTTTGTAGGGGTGGGGGTGGAAGGGGTTCAGGCTGTTTCCCAGGCTCCTTCGCACCACCGAGCTGCGGGGAGCACGTGGTGCCATTGGAACAGCAGCTGGGAGAGCCGAGGTGAAGGCAGCCTCTGGAGTCAGATGTGTCTCACAGCTTTTCCAGAGTAGAGGGAGAGCCCTTGAAGAGCCTGTTTGCAGTGGGAGCCTCTGCAGCAGTGTTTTAGCAGGAGGATGAGGTGAGTGATGGAACTGCTGGCTCTTTACTCCCTCCCTCCCTCCCAGGTCAGGGGGAGCTCCTTGCATTAAATGTTCTCTTTGCCCTCCCTTGCTCCCTAGCTTGTCAGGGAAGAATGTCATTAGCCAGGAACTTGTTCTTGAGACTCAGGACAGTTGTGAGCTGCTTGCTGCTGAGGGATGTTGTCCTCCTCATCCAACTCTGCCTCTCCTTTCCAGGTCTAGGCAGACACAGAAGGAGGGGCTGGAGAGGGTGGTTTGTCCATGACAATAGACTGACGTGGGGCTCGGGGGCTGTCAGCTTCTCTCCCTGACCCTGTCTGGGGGGGAGGGTGTTGTGCAGTGTGTTCCCAGAGCTGCTCTTTCCCACACAAATGGCTCTGCTTTCCATGAAACGTGGCGGTTCGTGTGTTGCTGTGGAGTTAGGATAGCACTAAGCCCTTGGAAAAGTTTACATAGGATACCATGTGTCTGCTATGGAGACTTGGATCTTTTTGCCCTTCTCTGACACTTTGTGTGGTGATTCAGTGGCCTTGAATTCCTAGTGCTTTTGGAAGAGGTGAAGGAAAACCTGGGCTTTTTGTTTGGTTGTTTTTTTGGTTGGATTTATGCAGCTGGGAGCAGAGCCGAAGTGTCTTGCAATATTACGAGCACATAATCAGCTACATTGGCCTGTAGCACACAGCAGCTAGGCAAAAGTGGGTGCCTGGGGACAGGAGAACAGCAGTAAAACAATGGAATTTAATTGGGAACTACTTACAGGAAACTGACTCTGAACACCCACACTGTCCCCTGTGCTGCCTCGAAATCCAGCTGTGGCCCAAGCCTGACAGCTTCTACTGGGCTGTTAGTCCTGATTTGCCCCCTCCCTTTCCCCCTTACACTAGTGTCTTTGACAGAGCAAGTTCAAGCGCTTCTGGTGTTTATGGCTGAGCAGCTTGCACTGTGTCTGTGCCCTGGGTGTGGGCATCCACTGTTCCTGCACTGTGGCAGAGGTTCAAGCCTCTCCTGGAGATAAGGATGAGGGCCCAGCGTGCTGAACGCCCATCTCCCGGGACAGTGCACATCAGGTCTCCTGCCATATGGTGTTAAACTAAGCCAGTTTCTTGCTTGGATCATGTTACTGTGATTTCCAGCAGGAAGCTTTCGGGTGCCCAGCCAGTGCCCTCCCCTTTGCAGGCTACAGAGAAGCAGCAAGATGCGATGCGTTGGAACCCAGACCAGCAGCGTGGGTCTCATGGGTTAAGTGTGGGGCTTGCCGAGCCGTGTTGTGCAGGGGCATGTCTGCTGGCTCCTTGCCGCGGTGCCCGGGGTGCTACACTGAGACTCGTGGCTTGCTCTCTGAGGGCTGGCACTAAACTGCTGTCAGGTCAAGGGCTTGCTCCCCTCTGGTTACTGACATGTGGCACCAGGCTGGGAGGCAACAGGGGCTGCCTCCTGCACCTACCCCGAGCAGAGCCAAGAGTTTGCATGGGGTGTGGAACGGAGCAGGCCCTTTGCTTCCCAGCCTGGACACCTCTGCTCCCTGCCACTCCCTGCCCTACCCTTCACGCACACCTCTTGTAGCAGTCCTTTTTCTTTTCCCGGTCTCGGCCTCTAACCAGAGCCTGCGATCCCTGGCGCAGGGAAGATGGTGTAGCTCCTCCCACTCCCATCTGAACCCCTAAAACTGACAGAGCCCCCTGCAGCTCCTCCTCCCGTCGGTGTCTCCGTCACTCGCATGCAGTTTGCTTCAATAAATTATTGTAGTAGTTTGCAATAAACTTTTTTGTATCCCCCCCTCCCCCGTATTTATTTTTTCTCTCCTCCCGGGGAGGGAGTGGAGGGAGCCCAGGGCACTGCGCTCGGCTGCGGGCAGGGGTGCCCCTCGGGGGCCCTGGGGTGCGGGGTTGAGGCTGGAGTCCCGCAGCGCTCTCTGCAGTAGCCACCAGGTGGCAACGACGCTGCTGGGTTTGGCCACCGGCCCCGGGGCTCGGCAGGGGCTCGCTGTGCTCCGGTGCCGCAGGGGCATCGCTCTGCAGCTCCTCTTGTTTCTCTTAATCTGGGTAATGCGTAACCAAAATAAATGTACTGAGGAAAAACCAAACCAACCAGCAGGGCTGTTCTTGTCTTGGTGCATGCAGCTCACCTGCCGAGGGTGGCTGGGACCCTGGCCTCCTCTGTCTGCAGGACCACTCTGGGAAAGGGGGTTTAGACCTGGGTGACCCCGTCGCACACAGCCATGGGCTGAATAAGAGGGCTGGATGTGGCCAGGACAGGCCTCTGCAGCCTTCTGCTGGGGTCTGGGTTGCCGCCCAGAGTGCAGCTGGTGCTGGAGCTCCAGCATGGGGTTCCCCTCACCCCCTCCCTAGTGAGCCCACAGTGCTCGGCCCTGCTTGGGCCCCAGCCCCACTGCCCAGGCCGAGGTGCTGAGCAGTGTCCGGGCTCTGCTCCCCTCTTCCCAGCAGTGGCTTCCCACGCCCTGGCTCTGCCATGAGCCCGGGGGATTAGTGTGCTGCTAATGGCACTGTGTGGCTGGTGGGGAGGACTGGGTCGGAGCTGGGGTTGGGAGCCTGCTGCTGCCAGGCAAGCCTGTTCTGGGCAAGGCTCTTGGAGTGGCAATGCTTGGGGGAATTAGGGAAATAATCTGTTGCTGTTGATCCCAGAGGTGGGAATTTGCAGTGTTGTGCCAGGCCCCAGGCGCGGAAGAGGGGGAGAGCCAGGCCAGCAGACGTGTGAGTGGAGCTCCCGGCTGGAATGCACCAGCTCAGCAGGGGATTGTCCTCCCCGGGCCGGGCAGGCGCCGTGCCCTGAGCCGGGTGCCCCGGCTGCCCGCGCCATGGCTGCAGCAGACAGCGCCTCAGCCACGCTCCGGCGCCGCGACCTGTGCAGCCGAGGCATCCGCCTGGCAGGGAAGATGCGCTCGGACGTCGTTGACCTCCTGGACACCTACGTGAGTTTGCGCTGTCGCTGCGGCCCTGCGGGGCAGCTGCTACCACCAGAGGCCAGGGGGCTTTCAGCAGCTGGTCCATGGTAGGGATGAGGGGTGAAGTGCAGCTGGTACCTGGGCCTTGGCGCTGCTGGGCAGTGCGTGGGCAACCTTAAGCACCAGCTCCTGGCTTTGCCCTGCCTGAATGTCTCCTGGGCAGCCCTGAAGCTGAACCGGGGCACCCTGGAGCCGGGGCTCAGGCAGAATGGGGGTGCCCTGTTTCTCCTGCCGCTGGTGATTCCTGGCTGCTGTCATCCCTGCAGGTGGAGCAGCAGGGCCTGGATGCATCGGCCAGCGTGGCGGCGGTGGAGGGGGTGCCGGTGGCAGCGGTGGAGCGCTGGGATGAGCAGACGGGAACCCAGCGGCTGCTGGAGAACCTGGCAGCGTACCGGGCATTCCGGGCCCTGCTGGCGCAGATGCTGGACGAGCAGCAGGAGCAGCTGGGGGAGGCCGATGCCACACTGGGCCCGGCACTGGCGGCCGTCCTGCTCCAGGTCTCGGCCTTCACCTACCACCTCGAGGAGCTGCTGCGGCTGGAGAACCGCGGCCCCCCCGGCGAGGAGGCGGCCGTGCTGCCCATTCCCCCCCAGCTCAGCCTCTTCGAGAGGAAGCTGCGGGGCCTGGGCGTGCTGCGGGAGCTGGCCCAGTGGGCAGTGAGGTCTGTGCGGGACCTGCGGCAGCTCGCCAAGCCCGGCCCGGGCAGCTGCGCAGGCCCCAGCCCAGCCGAGAGCCCTTGAGGGCAGGCAGGGGGCAGGGGTTGGATCCTGCAGAGTGGGGGGCTCCTTGCCCACCTCTGCAGAGCTGTTGACAGCAGAGGGGTGTGTTCCGGGAGGGGGGTGGACGGGAGGGACCATGTCACTGAACCCTGGCCCCCCACGCTCTTGGTGCTGTTTCCTGTGGGGAAGCTGGGCATGGACCGCACTCTGTGCTGGAGGGAGCGAGGAAGCTGACGTGGGGCGAGCCTCGGGGGGTGCAGATGTTCCCTGGGAAGCAGCTTTGCCGCTTGCCCCAGGGCCGTGCACCCCAGTGGGCTGTGGCAGTGTTGGCCTTTCCTGTGAAGCCTGGTCAGTGCCTGGCTTGCCTTGGCTGGGCGGGCAGGAGCTGCCTCAGGGCTGTGTGGAGGCAAGGCTGGAGTGAAGGGACAGAACCGTCACCTGGTGAAGGAGCCTCGGGACGTGCCCCCAGCTGCAAGATGCAAGATGCTCTCGCCTGGCTCACAGTTACTGTGTTGGAATTTCTGCTCTAACTGCTTGGGGGCTTTTTTCTTTGGGGGGGGGGGGGGAGTGGGATATCATCCAGGAGGGGATTTCTTAATCGCTTGGACAAGGTAACGGAGAGGATCTTTTAGCTGAGGGTTGTGATTCAGAAGACCCTCCACAAGGAGGTTTGTGCTTCCAGGCGTTCCTTTGGGACTGGGAACAGCATGGAAGATGAAACAGCTGAACCACATCACTCACCCTGTGAACGGGAATGCCCACACCATGGTTTACTTGCTGAATGGATGCGATGACTTCAAAGCAAATAAAAGGGATGGGTTATCTACTGTGATGACTGGGACTTCTTGGGGAAGCCTGGGCTGCCCCCTTCCTACCCCACCCCAAGGGAAGGTCGGTTCCAGGGGGGTGGGAGGTCTGGGGGGAACGGGACCTGTTGGGAGGCCATGGGGAAGATGAGGGAGATGGAGGTGGCAGGAGGAGGATGGGGGGGTTGTCACTGAGGTTCTGCCCCATCCTGATGTGGTCCTGCTTGCTGACCTGCACGAGGGAGGCAATGCGAGGGGACAGTGGAGCCATGGGGTGGGGAGGCGGCGGCTGGGGACTTGCCCAGCAGGCTCCACACAAAGCGGCTTTGTTGTGGTGGGTGGTGGCAGCACTGGGTCCAGTGCCTGCCCCAGGGCCAGGAGTGTCTGCACAGGCACTGGGTGCTGTGGGAGGACAAAGGCTGCCACTGAGCCAGGGCCCTCAACTCCCATGCTGCCCATTTGGGGATGGTGGGGCCCCAGGGATGGGGCTGCCTTGTGGCACTGGGGGTGGCTTGGTAGTGCCCAGTTGTTTTGTGGGCGATGCCCGGGAGGTAAAACATGCACCTTCTTCAGCACCACTTTCTGCCTGACCTCGGTTTTGCAGCTCAGACCGGATTATTTGCAACGTTTCTGCTTCTGGGAGGAACAATTTATGGCATTTATTATTTTTGTGATTAGTCAACGTGAGCCCCTTTCTCAGCAAATGTTTCTCTTCCCCAGTTTCAGCTGCTTTCTGTTCTTGAAACTATCTTGCTCTTCCCTTGCAGCCCTGTGCTCTGCAGCAGCTGGGTGCTCGCATCCTTGCCCACCTGCTGCCCATCACCTTCCCGAAGGCAGGCACAGACATCTTGAACGCCGCACATCCAGCACCGAGTCTTGCCACCCACACAGGCAGGAGCATAAGATCATAGAACGGACCAGGTTGGAAAAGACCTTTTAAGATAATCAAGGCCCAGCAGTGCCAAGGCCACCCCTAACCCATGGCACTGAGGCCTCATCTCCGCTGGGTGTGAGCACTTGCAGGGCCGGTGCCTGCAGCCCTGCCCTGGGCAGCCTGTTCCAATGCCTGAGCACCCTCTGGGGCAGGAATTGTTCCTCAGCTCCATCTAACCCTGCCCTGGTGCAGCTTGAGGCCGGTTCCTCTTGTCCCATCCCTTGTTCCTTGGGAGCAGAGCCCAGCCCCTCCTGGCTCCATCCTCCTGTCAGGCAGTTGGAGGCAGCCATCAGGTCCCCCCTGAGCTTTCTCTTCTCCATCTGAACCCCCCAGGTCCCTCAGCCCTTCCCCATCACACTTGGGTTCCAGGCCCTGCACCAGCTCCATTGCCCTTCTCTGGCCCCGCTCCAGCACCTCAAGGTCTCCTGTAGTGAGGGGAGACCCCTTTTCTCCTTTGGCAGTTGCCTGGGTGCGAGGTGACCTTCACGTTCCCTGGAAGCAGATTCCAGCAACTCGATCCTCCTGACCTGGAGCTGGCAGTGCCATGAGCTCAGCTTGGGCACTGCTGCCACACTCTGGGAGTCAGAACAGCACTGAGGCTTGGAGGTGGATGGGGATTGAAAGTCGATGGGGATTGAAAGTCAATGATGTTGCTCCAGGGGCTTCCTGGGGCTGTGCTCAGCAGCACCACTGCCACTTTTGCAGCCTCACTCATTCCTTCCTTGCTGGCAACACTAGGTGTGTCTGTTTGCAGAGCACCTGCAATGCTTTAAAACGGCCCCGATACAAAGGAACAATATAAGAACACAAGCCATAGGCCAGGCCTGCACCTCTGGCTGAGTGAGAGGCTCTGGAGCTCTCCCTTCCAGCAAGCCCCCACCATGCAGCAAGGATGTGGTGATGTCCAAAGGGGACCACAGGTGGACTCACTGGTGAGAATGGGGGCACCTGATGGCCAAGCTCTCTTGCTGCTGGGAGGCCCTTTGGGCTTCTGTTGCTGCGTGCTGAAGTTGATCTGGGTGAGGTGACTGAAGCTGTTGATTTTAGAAACAGATACAAAGAGCTTAAGGGGAGCACAGTCGTACCCACATGGCTAAAGCTACCGAGGACCCTGAATGGCCTCCTGTAAACTAAATGCCCACCAAAAAGCCATCTGAGATTGTGCTTTGGGAAGAGATAAAGGATTGAGAATGAAGACCTTGGGCCCACTGTAGGAGAGGAACTGGTTTGAGACCATCTTAAAAATCTGAACATGCACAAGTCCATGGGTCCTGATGGAATCCACCTGTGGGTCCTGAAGGAGCTGGCAAATGAAGTTGCTAAGCCGCTGGCCATCATATTTGAAAAATCATGGCAGTCAGGTGAAGTTCCCAACAACTGGAATACGGGAAATATAACCCCCATTTTCATGAAGGGGAAAATGGATGACCCGGGGAATTACAGACCAGTCAGTCTCACCTCTGTGCCTGGCAACATCTTGGAGCAGATTCTCCTGGAAGGCATGCTAAGGCACATGAAAATCAACAAGGTGCTTGGTGACAGCCAGCATGGCTTCACCAAGGGGAAATCCTGCCTGACCAATTTGGTGGCCTTTTATGATGGGGCTACAGAACTGATGGACAGGGGTAGAGCAGTTGAAGTCATCTACCTGGACTTGGGTAAAGTGTTCGACACTGTCCCACACGACATCCTTGTCTCTAAATTGGAGAGACATCAATTTGATGGATGGACCACTCGGTGGATAAAGAACTGGCTGGACGGCGGCACACAAAGAGTTGTGGTCAATGGCTCAATGTCCGGCTGGAGACCAGTAACGAGTGGTGTCCCTCAGGGATCAGGGTTGGGACCGGTCTTGTTTAACATCTTCGTCGCTGACATGGACAGTGGGATTGAGTGCACCCTCAGCAAGTTTGCTGATGACACCAAGCTGTGTGGTTCGGTTGATCCGCTGGAGGGAAGGAATGCCATCCAGAGGGACCTTGACACGCTTGTGAGCTGGGCTGATGCCAACCTCATGAAGTTGAACCATGCCAAGTGCAAGGTCCTACACCTGGGTCGGAGCAATCCCAGGCACAGCTACAGGCTGGGCAGAGAAGAGATTCAGAGCAACCCAAGGAGAAGGACTTGGGGGTGCTGGTCCATGAGAAAATGAACATGAGCCGGGTTCAGTGTGCGCTTGAGTCCAGAAACCAACCCTATCCTGGGCTGCATCCAAAGGAGCGTGACCAGCAGGTCCAAGGAGCTGATCCTGCCCCTCTGCTCTGCCCTTGTGAGACCTCCCCTGGAGCACTGTGTGCAGTTCTGGTGTCCTTAACATAAAAAGGACATGGATCTGTTGGAACAAGTCCAGAGGAGGCCACGAGAATGATCAGGGGACTGGAGCAGCTCCTGTATGGAGATAGGCTGAGAAAGCTGGGGCTGTTCAGCCTGGAGAAGAGAAGGCTGCGTGGAGACCTCAGAGCAGCTTCCAGTATCTGAAGGGGGCCTATAGGGATGCTGGGGAGGGACTCTTCATTAGGGACTGCAGTGACAGGACAAGGGGTGATGGGTTCAAACTGAAACAGGGGAAGTTTAGATTGGATCTAAGGAGGAAATTCTTTCCTGTGAGGGTGGTGAGGCACTGGAATGGGTGCCCAGGGAGGTTGTGAATGCTCCATCCCTGGCAGTGTTCAAGGCCAGGTTGGAGGAGGCCTTGGGTGATACGGTTTAAAGCGAGGTGTCCCTGCCCATGGCAGGGGGTTTGGAACTGGATGATCTTAAGGTCCTTTCCAACCCTAACTATTCTATGATTCTATGATTCACAGTGCTGGTCGCAATGGGGAAGGGGGGTGTGTGTGCTCCCTAATTGCAGGGGGAAGGAGCTACCAAACCACCAAAACAAACCCACAGATGTGTTTAATTAAAAAAAAAAAATCTTTGGGCTTAACATGTGGTTGTGTTGGGCACCCTTTGTGGGATTGGAAAGGTTTCAAGGTGACTGAGGCAGTTTCCTGGCCTCAGGCATGCCCATACTTGGGTGCTGCCATCGGTGCTAGGTTGTTGGGAGAGGATAAATTCATCATGCATGAGGGGCAGGCAGGTTCAGCTGCATCAGCCCCACCAGCTCTCCCAGCCCCTTCCACCATCCTGCACCAGCATTATTGTGCTGGCTCCTGACACTGTGATCCTGAGCCAGCGGTGCTGGGATGTTCACCAACACTTTCCTTTTTAATAGCAGGAAAACCTTTTCCTCCATCCTGAGTCAGCAGAAAGGATTTCCCTGGGTTTCCCTGTTGTGGCTTTGGCTGCACTCTCTGCCCTAAAGGAGCAGGTGAAAACTGCCAATGCCACGCTGCCTTCCAGGGAAGAGCCGGCATCTCCCTTCTCACAGGAAAGCACACTTCCAGCATAGCCCTGCATGTCTCTGGGAACAAGCTGGAAGGAAAGATTTGCTTGAACTTCTGTGGTTTGCCTCCTCCTCTTTCACCACAGCGCCCGCCAGCCGGCAGCACCGCAGTTACTCTCCACCTTTTTCTTTCCCACTTTTTAACTTCCCTTCTTTTTTTCCTCTATTTAGAGCTTGCCTAATGGTTTCTCACCACAAACACCGCTGGCAGCGCCTGGGAAACAGGTTTGCTAGGAGAGGAGCTGCACTGAAAGCTCAGGAACATCGAGCAGCAGCACTGTGGGACCCACGTCCTGGCCTCTAAGCTGGCATTGACCATGAATGGGGGATATGCCAGCGCTGGAGAACCTGCCTGCCGATTGTACAGCTCTCCCCGAGCCAGGTAATGGCTGTTCCGTTTAATAACTAAGAAGATGGGTTTGTGTCTCTGAGCAAGATGATCACCAGATGAGGTGAGATGATGCCAGCCAGCACTTACTGTTGCCAACATCCTGCTGCTCGGGGGTGCTCTGGGAAGCTGCTTGTGGGGCTCAGTGCAAGAACAAGCTCAGAGTTAACTTTTCTGGGGCTGCAGGAATGGGGCAGCGCTGACTGCTCGGCTCCCAGGGAGTCACGGTAAAGCAGAGGTGTCCGCGCACACCTCGGGGGGATGGAGCTTGTCTGCATCGGTCCCAGTTTGCACAGCGAAGTCCCTGGGTCGCGAGGCAGCACGGAAGCCACAGGAGCATCCCGAAGGATTTGCAGCCTCGTACGAGGCTGGAGCTCGCGTTAACTCCCCAGAAGCCCCTCCCGGGGAACACAAGCGGTGCCCGGCAGCCCGGTCGCGGGCGCTGGGGTTCGGCCCGGGTGCCCGGCGAGGCACGTGTCGATCCTGGGCTGTGAGCTCAGTTCCGTTCTCCACGGGCTGGGCCCGGGCAGCTACCGGGGCACGTCCCTGCCGGCCAAGGCGCTCGCACCCGCGGCTCTGTCGCGGGGCTCGACGCGGGTCCGGCCCCCACGTCCGCCGCGTCGGGCGCGTGACGGGCTGTCGCACAGCGGCGGGTGCGCACCAGGACCCCCGGCAGGGCGCGGGGGACGCCGGGGACCCGGGGACTGCAGGGTCGGGGCACCGGGACACGGGGAGGTGCGGGACGCGCGCGAGGGGCTCCCAGGTCCGCGGGGTGCGTGGGGCCGAGCCGCGGGACCCCCCCCCGGGAATGGTTCCTCCTGGTCGCGCTCCCCCACTCTGGCGGGTGCGAGGCGCCGCCGGGCCGGGCCGGGCGTGGTTACGTCAGGGCTGGCCCCGCCCCCCGCTGCGGCGCCAAGGGGCGGCCCTCGTTCCGCGCCCGCCGGAGCCGGCCCCGGGGTGGGGGCGGGCAGCGTCCTGCGCCGCGCCGAGCATGCGAGAGCCGGCGAGCCGGGCTGCAGCGGCCGCGGTGGCGGAGCCATGCTGCTGGCCTCGGCCGTGGTGGTGTGGGAATGGCTGAACGAGCACGGGCGGTGGCGGCCCTACAGCCCGGCCGTCAGCCACCACATCGAGGCTGTGGCCCGCGCCGGGCCGCGGGCAGGCGGCAGCGTGGTGCTGGGCCAGGCCGACAGCCGCCTGGCGCCCTACATCATCGACCTGCAGTCCATGCACCAGTTCCGCCAGGACACGGGTGAGTCGCCCGGGCCGGGCCCTCCCGCGCTACCCACGCGTTGGTTTGGCCGCTCGACCTGGCTGCACTTTGCACCGGGCCCCCGGTCTGGCCTTGCCGTTGGACGGCGGCCGGGACGCAGCACTGCCCTCGGCTCTCGGCTGCACGGTGCTCCCGGCTTCGGACTTGAGCTGCGCCGTTCGGTGCCGGCCCGGCGGGGCCGGACCTTGCACCGCATCGCGCTGACCGCTCTGCAGTTGCTCGGCACCGCGCCACCGGGCCCAGCCAGCGCTGCCCGCCCTGGTCCCTCGGGCAGCCCCACGCTGCCCTGCCCGGTCAGCTGCTTTCCTGCCTGCCACCATTGGTCCGGATTCGTTCTGCATCCCAGGGCCCTTGTTGCATTGCACTGGTTGGTGTGGAGTTGCTTTGCTGCCAGGTCCGGTATTGTATGGCGTTGCCTGACCTGGGATTGCCTTGCACGGTGTTGCACAATGCTGTGCTGCCGGGCCCCATACTGCATTGCCTAAGCCGGAGCTGGGCTGTACTGCGCTGCCTTTCCCAGTCCTGTATCACATTCTGGTGCCTTGCCTTGCCTTGCTTTACGTCCCTTCCATCCCATCGCCCGCTCTGCCTTCATGTTGCTGGCTTTACTGTGCTGCTGGGTGCTGCACTACATTACACTGCTTGATCCTGGTTTGCACTGCCCGGTCCCATAGGGCACCTGGGTTTGCCTTGCACTGCCCTGTGCAGCTTGCCCTGGAATAGCACAGCTCTGCTTCTCAGTATTCAGCACCATGCTGCTGCCAAGCCCTGCCTGATGCTGCCTGAGCCCATGCTGCCTGGCATCACCTGCTGCCAGCTTGTGTTATGCTGTCCCGCCTGGTCCCCAGGTGCTTGTCATATTGTGTGCTGCCCAGCCTTGCCTGTTCATTCCTGGTCCCATATGGGGTCGTGTTACCTGGCCTCCTCCCTGCTGCACCTCCCTGAGCCCTGTTGCACATTGTGGCCTTTTCCTTTCCTGCCCCACAGCCCCTTTGTGTGTGGAGCCTGTCCTCTGCAGACCCTGCCCAGGCTGCGCTCCACCATGCCTAGCTGCCTCTGTGCTACCCTAGGGCTGCCGCCAACCCCAAAGACCCTGTGCTATGCAATTCTTGTGGGCCAAATTAAGGCATAGGCAGGTGGGAGGTCCCCAGGGTGATGGTTTGGACAGGTGAAGGGGTATTTGGTATGTGGGGGAAATGAGCAGGCACTGGGGGGGTCCACAGGGTATGGTGTCTGGAAGGGCTTCCAAAGTGATGGGGCACATGTGGTCTTGGATGTGGGTCACAGGCATCCATGGGGAAGAGATCGGCACAGGGGATTTGTGTCCCCCAGCATATGATGGCCACAGGGAGGGGACCAGCCAGTTTCCTCATCCCTGGGGTGCGGGGTGTTGGGTGCTGTGGGGTGCTGGAGACTTTCCTTTGTCCTGCTTCCCCCAGCAGCCCTGGGGGCTGGTGGAGACCCTCCCCTGCCGGGGGGTGTGGGGATGAGGGAACTCTGCGGCAGGGCTGGGGGCCAGCTTCTGAGGGCTATTGTCACCAGGAAGGAGGCCTGAATGGGGGATTGTTCTGTGTCTCCCTGGGTTGCTGGGGATGTTGGTATTTTGGGTCATTAAACAGCTCTGATTTGGGGGGGGTCGCGACCCTGGCAGGGCCTGAATAGCTATTGTCCCTTTTCTTCCCGTGCTGAATGGGAGGCCGGCTGGCCACGCTGGTCTGGGGGGACGCCTGGCATTCCCACACCACCGCCCGGGGACCGACAGATGCCACATGCCGCTGCTGCCGCCCTTCTCGCCTCATGCTGGATTAGGATAAATTACCGTCCCGCTCCCCTCCGGCCCTCTTTGTGCCGCCAGTGCCAGCAGCTCTTCTGCCCCGGCTGTCCCGTGGCAGGACAGGAACAGTGGTCTGGCTTCCCTGGGGTGCAGCTGCGCCCCATTCTCCATAGCAGGGTGCTAATGTAATTAGTGCCAATAAACAGCTTTTTTTTTTTTTTTTTTTTTTTTTCCTTTTTAGCCCACCTTTTCTTGGAATGTGTTCTTGTATTGGGGCAGGTGGTGGTGACTGCTCCCGCTGGAGAGGTGGGGGTAGAAAAGGACTGAAATTCTTGCAGGCTGTGCGAGACACGTGGTGTAAAGCTGAAGCAGGCGGCTTAGTATTTCTTCTCTTTGAGCCTTCTTGTTCCTGCTGCTGGCAGTGGGGCTGAGCCATGGGGGTTTGCGTGAGTGTGGAGGCAATGATGCTCATGAGCTCATCCCACCCATTAACCAAACAATTCTGGGCACCAGAGGCATGCTCAGGATGGGACCCCAAGGCTTGAGCCTGGCCACATTCACCATTGCAAGGCTCAGAGCTGCTCCTTAAATCTTTTATTACCCCTCCTGCTCTGGACCTGGGAGGGAGATGGGACATGGCAGGCACTGCAGGAGTCTGCTGCCTACATGCCTGGCTTCATCAGGCTCCCATGGAGGGCCCTGGGAACAGGTTGGATTAGCCAAGTGTGTGGTTCTGTTTCCCCATCAGGGCTGGGGCTAGGAGGGCAGCTGCCACAGTAGACCAATGGCGTGAAATCTGGCCTTCCCTCACTGGGTGCACCCCAGTGCTATGTGTTATACAGCCATTGGGCTCCCTGGCCTTTCAGGTGTGGCAGTGGCAGGGCACTTTGCAGGCAGCAGTGTGGCTACACCAAGGCACAGCAGTCCCCTGGCAGGGTGGAGACAGTGGCTGAGGCAGGAAGCCAGAAAACTGTCCTGTCCCCCTGTGGAACAACACTGGCAGGGCAGGTTGGGGTGGTTTTGCTCCCTGCCTGCAGGTGGATGCTGGCGCCAGAGCCTGACAACATCTCTCACCCTCCCTCAGGCACTATCCGACCTGTCCGGCGCAGCTACTATGACCCATCTTCAGCGCCAGGCAAGGGAGTTGTCTGGGAGTGGGAGAATGACAGTGGGACGTGGACGCCCTACGACATGGATGTGGGTATCACCATCCAGCGTGCCTACGAGAAGCAGCACCCTTGGGTGGACCTGAGTGCCATTGGCTTCTGCTATGTCATCGACTTTGCCACCATGGGCCAGATAAACCGTCAGACCCAGCGCAAGCGCCGTGTTCGCCGCCGCCTTGACATGGTCTATCCTCTGGTCTCAGGCACCCTGCCCAAGTCACAGTCCTGGCCGGCCAGCCCTGGTGCGGCGGCAGCCCCCCCAGTTCCAGCCTGTGCCTGTCCCCAGTGTCTCCTGGTCATGAGTGTCAAAGCCACTGTGTCAGCTGCTGGCTCTGGCACTGCCACCCTGCAGACCCGCAAAGTCCCCCCTGTGCCACCCGCCACCTCCAAAGCAGCAGTGCCAGCCCCGGGGGCCAAGGCACCCGACAGCGTGGCTGCGGTGCGTGGCTCACTGAAGCCGCTGGCAGCCCAAGGCAGCCGGCGGCAGGCAGCCAGCACGCCGGCCTTGAGCTCAGCCAGCGCCACCGCCAGCCCCCCTGGCGCGGGCAGCAGCAAAGCTTCCCGCCCTGGCCTCAGCACCCTGAACCGCAGCCACCTCCAGCGCCTGGCCATTGCCCAGTCCCGTGTCCTCATTGCCTCTGGGTGAGTCCTGCCACGTGTGAGCCAGAGGGTAGCTGGGGGAGAGCAGGGTCAGTATGGGGTTTGGGTTGTTTTTTCCCTGGGGCACAGAGGGGCAGCAGCCCCTGGGGGCTCCCCGCTGCAGGGGTGCGATTGCCCCCGAGCCTGGTAGGAGATCTCATGGTCTTCAACCTCCTGTGGGCAGAGAGCTTTGCTGGGCCCCTCGCTTTCCACACTGGTGCCTGGGGACTGAAGCAGGGATGGGGTGGCTTCTGCATCTCAATGAGTAGGTTGAGGCTGCTCTTTCTCTCGGTGGCAGGGGATGAGTGGGGGACTGCAAAAGGCCCAAAGAAAAGCCATTCAGAGAAGGGGTCCCTCCAGACCCCCACCCTCTGAAGACATTTTTTTCGAGGGAGTGGGCATTTAATGAGCCTGTTTCTCTCCTTTGTCATGGCTCTGCCATGAGCCTTCTGTCACAGCCTGCCCCCTTTCCTCTCCCTCTCCATCCTCCCCCTTCCCTCCACTCCTGACCTGGGAAACTTTCCCATGGAAGAGAGCCCTAAGGGGAGGGGAGAAAGAGCTGTGGCAGCAATGTGGCCATAGGAGAAAAGAGTTAAAAACCAACAGACAGGCCCAGGGAGCAGTGACAAAAAGGGGCTGTGAATGGAGGCGCAGGCAGGGTTTCTAAAGAGTGAGAAAAGGCGGCGGTGGGGCAGGGGGGCATGTCGCCCCATTGGGGGATTTTCTATTTCCAGCCTGTTCAGTTGCTCAGGCAACTATTGTCTGGCCCTGGGGCCTGTGGGGCTGTGGGTGCCTGCTGCCAGCCCTGACGTGCTCTCTGCTGGCTCTTTGTAGGGTCCCCACCGTCCCTGTGAAGAACCTCACAGGCTCTAGCCCCGTCAACCCAGCACTGGCAGGTGAGGGTGGGGTGACTGATCCCCCTCCCCAGGGGGAAGTCAGCCCCAGCTGGCTGTTTTCTGGGGGAACATCTGGGCTTCTGGGTGCTGCTGGGTGATCAGTGCCGTTTCGCCCAGGGATCACAGGGATCCTAATGAGTGCAGCCGGGCTACCCGTCTGCCTGACGCGGCCCCCCAAGCTGGTACTGCACCCCCCTCCTGTCAGCAAGAGCGAGATCCAGTCCATCCCTGGCATCTCCCACTCTTGCCGCAAGACCACCAAGAAACAGGCCAAGAAGGGTAAGAGGAGCTTTTCCACTTGGCTTCCCTACCTGGTTCCCCTGTCCCCTCCTGCTGCTCCCAGAGTGGGTTTCCAGCATGCTGCCATCCAGTTCCTCTGACTCTTGCTCTCCCGCAGGTAAAACTCCAGAGGAAGTACTGAAAAAATACCTGCAGAAGGTGCGGCACCCGCCGGATGAGGTGCGAGCAGCAGGGGCTGTGCTGGGCTGTCCTGGGGTTCTCTGACCTGGGAGTGGCGACTGGAGACATGGGTGACGCCTCCGTGCCATGCAGTGGCCTCCCACTGCCCCTTGTGGCTCTGCCCTGCCCCCATCCAGAGAGGATCTCTGTGCCACACGCAAGTTGGCCAGCCCCTGCAGCCGCCCAGGGAGGGGGGCTGGTCCCTGGGCAAGAGCTGGGCAGCTCACCAGCCCCATGGCCTTGGAGAGGCTCTGGCTACATCCATCCTTCTGACCCTTCTCCTCCTCTTCCATGCAGGACTGCACCATCTGCATGGAGCGCCTCTCCGCACCCTCTGGCTACAAGGGACCCCAGACAGCCATCAAGCCTGACCTGGTGGGGAAGCTGGTGAAATGTGGCCATGTCTTCCACCTCCACTGCCTGGTCGCCATGTACAACAATGGCAACAAGGTGTGAGACTGTGGCCCTGCTCCGTGACTGTGTTGAGGTCCACCTGCCCTCAGCAGGACAGCGCTCAAATCCTGGTGTGCTGGAGGGCCCAGGCCTCCCTGCTCTGATAGGGAGTTTAATTTTTAGCAGCAGCAGGACTGCAGAACTGTTCAGTCACAAACCAGGCTCGTGCGGGTGTTTTTCTCCCGCTGTGCCCAGTTTTGCATCCCTGCTTTCCTCCCGTGCTTAGTGAACTTTGATCCCTGTGTGTTTGAGCAGAGCTACCTGGTGTCTGGTGCCAGGCAGTGCTTTTCCAGCAAGTGCTGGGTTTTCCTGAGCCCCCCTGTGCTCAAAGGCCTTAGGAAAATGAGCTGTTGTGCTTGAAGTCCTGAGGAAAATGTGTTAATGCGTTTCACATGGCTTGAGGAAATTGAAACATTTGCTATATTTTCCTCTTTGAAATAAAAATGTAAAAAACCCAAGGCAGAGGTGGGGAAAGTAGCAAGGGCTGTCAAGCTGGTGAGGAAGAGGAACACAGACCTTGGGGGTTTGGTTGAAGTCAGGTCATTGTAGCAAATTTCTCCAGGCCCTACTCCTGCATCCCAAGTGCTTTTGAAATTACTGATTTCATGAGGAAACCATCAGCCTGCGCTGCTCAGGGATGACATGTCCAGTCTGGCTCATTGCTGGGAGATCCTGGTTTCATTATGTTCCCTTCTTCTCTCAGGATGGAAGCCTGCAGTGTCCCACCTGCAAAACCATCTACGGGGTGAAGACGGGGACACAGCCCCCAGGGAAGATGGAGTATCACATTATCCCTCATGCGCTGCCTGGCCACTCTGACTGCAAAACCATCCGCATCATCTACAACATTCCCCCAGGGGTGCAGGTGCGAGCCAGCCCCATGCCCAGTGGAGTATGTGTATGGTCCTCTGTGGGAACTGGTGGCCCTTGTCATGCCTTGGCTTGGGGCTCTGGGTTCAGTAATGTGTCAGGAGCTGCATGTCCATAAGGATGTTGTGTGTACGTCTGCATGGAAGCACTGGCCCTGTCTGCTTAAGTGGCAGGGGCGCAGGCGGTAGAGTTTAGGGTCACTGTGCTGGATCATGTCCACCCAGCACAGAAGCAAGCAGTTCTGCATCCACAGAGGCTGGGGGTTACCTTGTGTCCAGAGCATCCCTCAGAGCTTCAAAAGGATTTTGTTCTTCCAATCCACACACTGCAGGGACCGGAGCACCCAAACCCTGGGAAGAGCTTCACCGCCCGTGGCTTCCCGCGGCACTGCTACCTGCCGGACAGCGAGAAGGGCAGGAAGGTAAAGGGCAACCAGGGTGGCCCGAGCCAGCCAGGGCACACTCAAGGGTGTATTGAGGGGGAGAGGGAGCAAGCAGCTACTTGGAGCATGGGGAAAAGCAGGTACAGTTTATGTAGGCAAATTTGGGTGGAGGGTTTCCCCACAGCCCACCCATCATGCTCTGCAGGAGCCCAGTGATGTTCCTATGCACTGGGGGAGCTCTGCAGCCTGGTCCACTATTCTGGTTGTGTTAGGACCCTGTGCTGGGATCCCAGGTTCCCTGGAGGGCTTGGCTGTGGGTTGCTCATGTCGCCGGGGTGTACTGGGATGATCAGGCGTGCCCTGAGCAGAACTGAGCTCTCCCTCCAGGGTTTGCCTTGCTGCCTGCCCCAGCTCTCCGCTCCACAGGTACTGAAGTTGCTGCTGGTAGCCTGGGACCGGCGCTTGATCTTTGCCATTGGGACCTCCAGCACCACAGGCGAGTCAGACACAGTGATCTGGAACGAGATCCACCACAAGACAGAGTTTGGCTCCAACCTCACTGGCCACGGCTACCCCGACATCAACTACCTGGACAATGTCCTGGCTGAGCTTGCGGCCCAGGGCATCACGGAGGAGAGCCTGGCACAGGAGAAGGACTGAGACTGCAGCAGTGAGGCCAGGGAAGGGACACCTGTGCCACTCCCAAGGATAAACCTGCTGGGGAAACCCACCTGTGTGCTTTGCAGGGAGCACCTTGAACCCCTGCTCCTAGTGGCACCCACCCAGTGAGAGCATCTGTAGACTGGCTGGGAATCTGAGAGAAGGTCCTTTTGGACATCCCGTTTGCTCCTGTGGGAAAGCCTTGCCCTGCAGAGCTGCAGGGCTTCACGCTGGCCCTGCCATCCCCTCTGCCTGGTGTCCTGTCCCACTGCTGCTGTGCCAGGGGCTTGGGGGGTGCCAGATTCCCCTCTCGTCCATGGATGGTCTGAGCCTGGCTTCATGCCCCTGACATCCATCTGGAGTTGGGACCTGGCCTGGGGTGGGAGCGGGGCCATGGGAGTCCCCCTTGCTCTGCCTCTTCCCTCAGCCATCTGTTTGTTCATTTGTCCTGTCCGGTACCTCCCCACTGGTCTCCTGTGTCCATGGAGGTTGGGGGCCCCGGTCTGCTCTGGCTGGCCCCTAGCCCTGTGCCCTGTTCTCTTGGCTGTGTCTGAGCTGTGCCCTGCAGGGTTCCCTTGTCTGGGCTGCTCCCGTCCTGTGCCAGGGAGGGAAGGGCGGGGGGGACACACGCATGCTTCCTGGCCCATCTCCTGCCCTCCCTTTAGTGGGTTCCTTGAACTGTTCGTATGGGGGAATCCCCGCGGTGAATTTTTATATACCTCGTGTTTGGGGGTTTTCGTATATATGTACATATAGGTGATGGCATTCTGTGAGGTTGCCTGGGGGGGAGAATGCGATGCTGTGGCCAGGCTTGGTGGCACTTGGGGTGGTGAGGGGACAGGGGCAGCACTGCTCCCCTACTGTGGAGACCCCCACCCCAAAGAGGGTCTGTGCCCCATGGTGGGGCTGTCACCTGTGGGTCCCCATGGGGCCAGGCGCAGGTGGGAATCATTTCCCCTTCCTGCTAGGTCCCAGGCCCATCCCCAGAGACCCCTGAGGGAGGAGGCAGCCAGTAGTTAATTGTCACTGGTTTTGGGCTGGGGCCAGGGAGGGTGGCATGGGAGGACATTATGGGTGATGGGCTGTTCCATGGGCATCTTGGCGTTCCTGCCAGGCCCTGGCCACTTCATAGGGCCTCTCAGAGCCACCTGTGAGAGGGTGCTGGGGAGGTGCTGGCAGTTCTGGGAGTCCTGTGGGGCACTCCCTATCGGTGGGGTTGACGATGTTCATGTCCCTGTCCCACAAGGCCCTGGGGTTAGAGAGTGGAGCGGGAGGCAGTCCCAACCACTGCCCGTGCTGACCCCAGTCCTGCACTGCTGCTCCCAGGGCTTTGGGGCTTCCTTGCCCATTTTGTTGCATTCCCCTCCTGGTTTTCCTGGGGGGTCGCCTCACCCCCCTGTCCCTGGGGACAAAGCTGCGGGGGGGGGGGGGGGGCTGTCCTGCTGTGCATCGTTCTGTTGTCGTGGCTGTTTTAACTCTCCCCTGCCTGGGGGTGCGTTGGCCCCCGCCAGCCGCCCCACGGAGCGAGGGCTGGGGGTCAATAAAGCGGATGGCGGGGATGCTCGCTGTCCCTGCACGGCCTGGCCTCTCTGTTGTCTTCTGTCCGTCGTCTGTGTGGCCAGGTGAGCGAGGGGGCACGGCAGGGAGGGCCGTCCCCTGATGCCCCTTTGCATGGGGCTGCCCCCAGCCTTCATTAGCATGGGATGGTATTTTCTACCTCAAGGGAGAAACCCTCTTTCCGCAGGAAAACCCCGTTTCGGGCGGCTCTGCAGCTGGAGGAGCTGCAGCAGTGCCCTTCCTCCTCCACCGCAGCCCTGGACTTCCCCCCTGCAGAGAACTCGTGGCTGGAGCTATGCAAAACCCTCCCATGGCCTGGGGAGCCCCCCTCGCCCGCGCTGTCACCATCACACAGACTCTTCACAACGTGACTTTTTTCCCCCTTTTTTAATGCTGTGTTCCCTCCAGTTTCTGGCTGAAATAAAACTGATCCGTGCCTCCGCGCGTGTGTGTATATCTATCCTGATAGATATACATGGAGACAGGGGCTGCCCTCCCCTGCAGCAGGCAGAGGTCGGTGCCCAATGCCGCGCGTGTCTCCATGAGGTCGCCCTGCTCCCTCCTGTCCCGCAGGCAAGTGCTGCCCCTGCCGTCAGTGCTGGCCCTGCGTGCTGCAGGTCCCGGGGGCTCTCTGCGGGGCTGGGGCTCTTCTTGCCAGGAGTCAGGCTCCTGCACGCATCCTGACCCGGTTTTTACAAGGAGCAGGATGTGCCCATGCACTGCTGGTGTTCTGTGTGTGGAAGAAGGGAGGGTTGTGCTGCTGCCACTGGCTTTTTGGGGCCAGCCTGAGGGTTTCTATTTCCCTGGGAACCCCAATGTCCTGAGCAGCTTGTTGAAGGGGACACTGGGTCCCCTTTTTCTGGTTTTGAGATGGGGGCACAGCTGGGGCATGGCTGCAGTGGAGGGGAAGCTCATTTCATCTCTGAAACGGCAGAGCCCCAGGACTGGTTGGAAGGGGAAGATGCAGTCATGGAGATGCAGGGCCTGGTGGAGGGATGTCATGGTGTGTGCTGGTCACGGGTTGACCCTGGGACTTGGCCTCTGAGGTCAGCTGGGGACAGGTCTGAAGGGCCATGGAATCTCTCAGGAGCTTGACGCTGGAGCTTGGGGATCTGGAGGGCAGGAGCATGTGTTACCCCATGGACAGGTGAGCCTGGGCTCTCTGTGGGGACAGGGACCCTCAGCTCCTGTGGGCTGCTGGTGCTGCACAGCTTTGCCTGTGGAAGGGGTGCTGTGTAGGGGGCTTGGCCTGGGTTTGGGGGACAGTTGGGATGGGAGGGGACATGGGATGGGGACATGGGATGGGGAGATAGCAGTCATGCCAACAGCCCCTCTGGCTGTTGCTGGTATCCCTTACCCACAGCGAGCACATTCCTGTCCTCCAGGCTTGCAGCAGGGCTGTCCCCTTCGCCCACTGCACGGTATCCCTTTGCCTTGTACCTCCAGCGGCTGTAGCAGACCATCGCCAGGATGGTGGCCAGCCCCGCCAGCACTGCTGCAGCGATGCCGGCCACCTCGCCCCCTGACAGCCCCCGGCCCCTCACCGTCTCTGTTGCGTGCTGGATTTCTTGTGGCTGGACTGGCCGCCACACGTGGCTCTGCCCATCCCTGACCCAGGCGCTGCCCCCGTCCACGCTGCTCACCAGCACGGTGTCAATGGCTGGCGGGCTGCTGGGGGGCCGGGTGAAGGGGGGCAGGCGGGCAGGTGGCAGTGAGCCCCCTGTGAGGATTCCAGCCTGGACGCAGTATTCCACCTGGCAGCTATTGCTGATGAGTGCCAAGTGCTGGCTGAAGCCTGGAGGGCATTTCTTGGCATGGAGGTCCTTGGTAGTGCCCTGGTGCTGCCTTGCCCAGGGGTTCCCTGCCTGGCAGCTAAAGAAACCCCCAAAGGGCACTGCATACTGGCTACCCCCCTCGTAATCCTGGCTCACGCACACCATAAGTTCATCAAAGAGCTTCAGTGGGAAGTACCCCAAGGGGCAGGATTGGGCACCAGTGATGGGGTTGACGCTCTGGCTGCTGAACAGCCCTCCAAAGAGGTATCCCAATCCTGGGGCCATTGTCCTGCTCGCAGCACACCAGTAGGCACTGAATTGCACCCGGGAGAGCCAGAAGACATCCTGGCACTTGCGGTGGCAGAAGATGCCCAGGGTGCACTTTTTGTGGCACTCCAGGTGGCTGTGACCTTCCTCCTGCTCCTGCATGGCCAGCAGCACTGCAGTGTAGGTGGTGGGGCAGGAGAATGCCCCAGTGAGGGGGTTCTTCTGCTCCAGCCCCTGGCAGAGCATGTTGGTGTCAGGGCCGGCCAGCCCCGTGCACTCCTGGAAGACTCCCCCGAAGCTGAAGTTGGTCATGGCACCCTTGCAGGAGCCATCATCGATGTTGGCATGGAAGTTGAAGTTGGGTGAGGTGGCATCGGTGCAGCCCGGGTAGGTGTTGAAGGTGTAGTAGCGGCGGATGGCCATCTCCACATGCCTGGCCAGCTTCTTTACTGTGGGGGATGGCAGCTCTGGCAGGGTGCTGGGCTTGATGACGAAGTACAGGGGCAGCCCTGAGCGGTCGAGAGCCACCAGCTGGTTTCTAATTCCCTCCTGCCAGGTCTTGAGGGTGATGCCTGGGTAAAAGGGGGTCCCGCCAATGCTCTCTACCCTGGAGCTGGTGCGGTTCTCCAGATACTGCTTGGTGAAGCCAGAGCTGATGTTCAGGGACTCCTCACTTTTCACACTGATGATGCTGTGGAAAGCCACACCGGCTGAGGCTGTGACCGCACTCCGTTTGGCCCAGCTGTCCTTCAGGAAGGTTGCCTTGATCTGATCCTCCTGCACCAAGCTTGCTCCAGCATCCACAGACGTGATGGTGTGGGTGCCATAGTTAAGCACCAGCACCTCAGCCAGAAAGTCAGCCATGTGCGTCTGGTTGTTCTCCAGGTGGCTGGCGATGGTCAGCAGCTGCTTCTTGAAGCCTTCGTCCAGGACTGCCCCTGGGTCGACCTTGGCTGTGTAAACCAGGTTCCTGACCTGCACGCGGGTGGTGACAGCACGGTCTTTCACTTGGTGGGTCTTGGTCCTCTGAAAGTCATAGGAGAACTTGCCATTGATGGAGGAGAAGAGGAACAGCTCCAGGTTGATGGAGGCAGAGGTGATGCTTTGGTAATCTTTCCAGGACTCGATGATCTCAGAGTTGATGTCCAGGTTGCTCTGCTTGCGAGGGATAGTGAAGACCTCATCTGGGATGATGTAAGATCCATCTTCTGTGGTCTTACACAGTGAGTAGCCCAGATTGATGACTTTGCCCATATCCAAATTCCTGAGGTTATCCCAGCCCCCCCCTGGCAGCACTTCCAGACCTGGGAGCTTCAGGGCCTTCTTGCACTCCGGAAGCCTGGTGGAGGGGGACAGCTCCTGGCTCTGCTCAGCCCCTGTCACCAAAGCCACCAACATGGAGGCCAGCAGGACCCCCACCAGCAGCCAGCCCATGGCTGAGCCAGCACAGACGTCTGGGCGCTGGGGCTGGAAGGGGAAATGAGCTGCTGGGGCTGTAGCTGTGGGTGTTTCCTCCTTTGGGGGTTGAACAAATGAAAGGAGAAGTGAGAACCGAGGACTGATCAAGTGGGTGGGGAGTAGCACGTAGAGGTGCCCAGAGCCCAGAGCCTCCCTGTTGTGGAAGCTCCCTGTCCCTAGGAAAGCTGCTTTGCAAGGGATGGAACAGGGAGAAACCTCTCTCTCATCTTGTCACTGTGCGGTGTCCCTTGGGCAATGCCTGTGTGACTCCCTCAGGTTAATCCCGCCTTGCTCCTGAGTGACCCTTCTTGCCACGCAAGGGACCTGTCCCCAGACTCTTGGCCGGGGGGTCCCACTCACACGATGGGGTGAGGCCTGTCCCTTGGTCACATGGAGCTTGCTGCTGCCTCCAAGGCTCTCCCTTGCTGCAGAAGCTAGGAGAGGAAGCGGGGAACTGGTGCAGTGGGGTTTCGATGTTGGGGACTGCAGTATTTGTCTCTTCTCTCTTGGGGAAGAGGCTGCCCCACACCCTGGGACAGGGTCTGTAGGTTTGGAGGTCTGCCCGTGGGGGCTGGGCCTGTAGCACAGGTGTCCTCCCATACCAACATCTGCAGTAGGGTCCTCTGCAGCCTCTTCTACCCCATCCCAGACCTTTCCCAGGTCCATAGGCTCAGGGTTGCTGTGCTGCTGGAAGCTGGTTCCAGTGGTACTGGGCTGGCTCAGCCCAGGGATGCTGGCACATGGCTGGGACCCAGTTCCAGCAGCACAGGGCGGCTGATAGGAGTTTTGGGGAACAAACAGTTAAAGCAGCTTCTGCTGTGAAAGCTGTGCCTCTTTCCATGTGGACAGCTTCATTTCCCCTATTTCTGCTGATCAGTTCCTCCGCCCAGGAAAGTTCTGGTAAGGACAAGGCTGAAGTGAGAGCTGTGGTGAAGCAGGGTGGGGATGGGATATCACAGATGCATGTGTTCCTTTGCCAGGATAATGCTGGCTATCTGTGTGTGGAATAGACAAGATAAAAACTGTTAAGGATGGCCATGCTGGCACCAGTGTGAGGCTCCCACACCAACCTGGAGCCACCTGCTTTTCACACCAGGTTGTGAGGCTCCCTTACCTAAAATCCAGCTGCGTGTTCACTGCCACCCAGTTCTGAAGCCTGAGCAGTTGCCCCTGGCAGGGAGCTGCAGCTGGTGACAGCTGTGGCCCCTGGGACCAGAGGAGGGGGAGAAGTCCCGTGGGGCAGAGAGGAGCTGCCTTGTCCTCCTATGAAGCAGGAACAGCTCTGAAACAGAACCCAGGGCTTCTCTGTGCTGCATCAGCTGCTGCAAGCCATCCTATGCCGTGAGGACCAAGATGCAGCAGCGTAAGGCACAACCTCTCCACTGCATCCAGCGGGGGGGTTCAAATCAATGAATTTCATTCCTGACTGCCACGGGGAACGAGCGAATACCAGAGTGGGAGAGCAAGCCCTGCTCACCTGGGGGGGGTCTGAGAGGGTGGACAAAGACCTAGGCAGGGTGGCTGCTGCTGCCTTCTGGAGTGTGAGGAATGGGCAGTGAGGAGGGTGGCAGCAGCGGAGCTGCAGGGGCTGCAGCAGGAGGCAGAAATGTGGTTTAGTCTCCCCCACCCCATCCTGGGTTCAGTGTAACAGTTACTGTTCTCCTTCCCAGGATCCGGTGCAGCGCTGAGTTCCGCCTTTACTCTGAGAATAACGCTGGGAACGCACCCATGTTTCAGTTGCTGCTCGGTCGCGCTTACCCCAGTCAAGGACTTTTCGGTCCCTCACGCTCTTCTGGTGAGAAGGGGCAGAAGAAGCCGGGACGGAGCAGAGACAGGACACTGGACCTGAGCTAGCCAAAGGTGTATTCCGTACATACCATAGCACATCATGCCCAGTGTAGAAACTGGGGGGAGTCATCTGGAAGGTTGAGATCGTTGGTCAGGTTGGCCTGGTTCTCAATCAGTGCGTGCTGAGCAATTGTACTGGGCATCACTTGTGTCTATTGTGTTGGTTTTTTTTCACTACCCTTTTTGGTTTTATATTCTCTCCCCTTGTTATTTCCCTTCTCATTATTACCATTGGTGGTAGCACTAGTGGGTTTGTGTTATACCTTAGTTACTGGGCTGTTCTTATCTCAACGTGTGGGGTTTCCATTCTTTCAATTCTCCGCCCCATCCCTCAGGAAGTAGGGGGGATAAAGGTGGGAGAATGAGCGAGCAGCTGCGTGGTTCTGAGTTACTGGCAGACACCCCCAAAACCAGCAGAGGCATTAAATGCTCACAGCTGGGGCGAGGAGTGGCACGTACTGCTCACAGCAAGCCACAGAGTTTGTGCAACCCAAATCCACAGGGCCTGGCACAGATGGAGGCAATGGAAAACATTTTTGGTGCTGCTTCTGGGCTGCTGGGTGCTAAGTCTGATTTCTGACCGTGTCCATCAGGGACCCTTGGCCAGATTTGTGCATCCTCATCCTGCTGGTGCTTTCTGTGGGCTGGGATCCCCTGCAGCGGTGTGTCAAGAATGGGAGGGCATCACAGTTTAGTGCTTTGGCTGTAAAAAGCAGATGGCCTCAGAGAAGTGCCTGAGGGCTACTAATAAATACAGCCTGGAGGGAGGAACTAGAGTTTGCTACAGAACAGAAAACCCACAGGTCATAACCACTGAGAAGTATAAGCCTAAGTGCTTGCAGGGATCACCTGAGATTGACATTACACTGGAAAAGCATGAAGTATCCTACAGCCACCAGGTCGGCTGCTGGCTTGGACTGATGCTCAGCACCAGAGCGTGGAAATTGCTTAGCGATGAAAAACTGTATATGTACCATGTCAATGAACAAATAGGCAGACAGAGAGGGTCTATATATCTACATGCCCATAAAGAGGTATTTAAGCTTTTCTTGGCAACGCAGAAACCTGAACGGGGAGGGGGTACTTTTACAAGAAACATGCCTTTTGTCCTCATCGATGTTTTATATTTTTAGACAAAGCTTGGGAATCTTGTTACAAGGAGAAGCGGAGAAATGTAAGCTCAAAATCTGTCAAAATGAAGCACTTGTGTTTTCCAGTTTTGTTCCCTTTTCTGCCTGTGTCCATTACAGTGGTAAAGGAGTGTCCCGATTTGTGGATTTCCGTGGAGAAAAAGGGACTGAGCAATTTTGGGAGCTCTGTGCCTGGCATGTGTGCTGGTAAATGAAGGATACAATGTGGGAACTCAGGCCATGCAGATGCAGGTACAACTTGAGTGGCTGTAAGTATGATCCTGGCTGTTTGTCTTAATTAACGTCTCTGCATTAAGATGCTGATTTGACCATTGTCAAGTCCTGTCTCCCAGAGAGACTCAAACTCAAAGCACATTCAGGCAGAAGGGCCCTTTCTCCTGAAAGTCGGCCACAACCTGGTTTTCTGTAGGTGAACTCCTGAGATGTTCAGGCTCTGTCAACATCCTGACAAGGGCAGAGCCACAAAAGCCCCAAGGAGCCCAGGAGGTCCCTGGGGACACTTTCACTCCACCACTGGGAAAGGTGACAGCCACCACACACCAGGGGAGGGCAAGGCCAGACAGGAGGAGGAAGCATGACCTAACCTTGATGCATCCAAAGCCAGCTTTGGCTGTTTCTGTTCCCTGCCCCACCTGATGCAGACCAGTGCTTTAAGTTGCTTTTAAACTAACATCGTTTAAAGCCGCTGTTCTTTTCTCTTTCTGTCCCATGTGCTTGTGCAACCGCTGACATCAAACAGACAGTTTTGTAAGCACTTTAAAGACTTCTTCTTGGGTAAAGTGAAATCTTCTAGCAATACCCTTACAGCACCTGAGGGCGTGAGGCAATTGGGGCACGCTGGCTATCGCCTTTGTGATATGGCAGGTGATTGCTGCCATTTAATGGGCCCTATAACATCCCCATCCCATAGCAACCTCTGTGTGGCAGCTCTGTGGGGTGATGTGGCTGCTGGAGGCACTGTGGCAGGTGAGAAGAGATACCTCTGGCATGCTCTTCTGGATAATATTTCTCAGAAAGATATAAACGGTGACTTTTCCTGAAGGTTTGCTGACTTGGCTCTACAGGGGCTTTCCCAGCGCTGGAGTACAAGAACAGAGAAATCAGGCAAGAATCACTGGATGACTGCTGCTTGCAAGGTGAGGCTTGCTCAGAGCCTGAACCCTGTTTCTATGGGTATGTAATCAATGTTTAAGAATTCTGCCCACGGCATTTCACTTCATGTTGATCAAAACCTAAATTTTTCTCAGCGGTCACCAGCATTATTTCTGGTTACAAATAGAATTGCAGAATCACGAAATGGATTGGATGGGACCTTAAAGTTCATCCAGTTCCAACCCTCTTGCCACAGGGGCACCTTCCACTAGACCAGGTTGCTCCAAGCCCCATTCAACCTGGCCTATATAAAGGTAGGATTTTTCTCTTTGAGTATTTTTTTGGCATGGGAAAATAGCTCTTAAGTCATGAAGATCTCAGGAGGGATAACTTCAAATTGTGTTTCCTTGTGTAATAGTCATCTAGCTCCGGAGTGGATGGAATGGCAGTATTTTCTTGTAAGCTCACATCCTTTACTGAAAGGGAGCAATAAATGAGCTTATTTGGTGTAAACTGACTTTTAGACTTATTTTAAAGTTGTTAGGGCCTGAAGGCATTAATAGGCTTTAATTTCCCTGGGCAACCTCAGCTGGCCCCACACCATGGCTGCAGGAGTCACAGTTGTGTTCAAAACTGAGCCCTCTGTGCTCTGTTGCAGCTGTGCTGGTCTGCAGTCCTGTCTGCTGGATGGATGCCTTGTAGGCATCTCCTCTCCTGCATGGACCCATCAGGTGCACGTTGTAGCTCAGCCCCATGCTCCCGGGGGACCCTTGGTCATCACTTGCTGTGGCTTTCGATGGACCTGGTCACCAGCACTGGCTCTGCTCGCTGTGCCCATGTGACTGCATCTGCCCAGGAGGGTCCTGCCAATGCTGAGCTCCCTCCTGCCTATCCCCATGTTTGGGGGGCAGGTAGTCTTTGCTGCTCCCTGACAGAGGCCACCAAACCAGTCTGCATCATGGATTAATGATGCTACATTATCAGCAGTGCTGGAGCTGAGCCTCAGCTCGTCCGGAGAGCTCGAGTGACGCCCGTGTGGGCAGAGGGCAAGCAGAGAACCCTATCCCAAACGTTGCAGTGGGCACAGGCCGAGGAGCCGGCGGCGCTCGCTGAACGCCAGGAAACCTTTCACTGCGCCGCCATGTGGCCAACTCCCGGTACTGTAGATAGAGTGTGTGGGGGGGCCTTCATGTGCGCCGGCCTCCGCTCGCTGCTGCCATCCTGTGTCCACAGTTCGGTACTGCAGCCCGGGCTCCGCGCATGAGCCGTGGCGCTCCTTTTGTCCCGGCTGTTGTCCGCGGAAGTGGCCGGTGTCACGTGGTGGCGGCTGGCTTCCGGTGAGTAATGGCGGCCTCGGCTCCACGTTGCGATGCGGGCCATCCCGCGCGGTGCTGGTGGCAGCAGCCCGGTGTCCGCGCACCGGCTCTGGCCCCTCCGGCGCGCTGTTTCGGTGTGCGCATACGCAGCTCCCGGGAGCAGCATGGCGGCGGGCAGGGTCCGGGTGCCGGCAGCGGCGGCAGCAGGTGAGATCCGAGCCCACCGGGGGTCCGGGGTTACCGGGGAGGCGAGCGAGCCCGCCCGCCCGTCCCTTGGGCGGGCGCAGAGGGGCGTCTCCTGCCTGCTGGCCGCCCGGCGCAGGAAGCTTCACAGCGCCCCGTGAGGCAGGGTTGCGGTCTGCCAGGGACGAGTCGGGTCAGGAGCCTCCAGTGCGCTTGATTCTGCCTTCATCTCCTTCGATGAGTCTCAGGCGCCTCGGAGGCTCCTGGCCCGGCATCCTGCGCCCTGCCACTGTGCTTGTTTCTCTGCCTTTGCCCTGGTTTCAGCTGCAGCAGGGTTAATTCTCTTCCTAGGATCTGGTGCAGCGCTGAGTTCCGCCTTTACTCTGAGAATAACGCTGGTAACGCACCCATGTTTCAGTGGTTGCTCGGTCCCGCTTACCGCAATCAAGGCCTTTTCTGTTGCTCGTGTTCTGCCGGTGAGGAGGGGCACAAGAAGCCGGGAGCGAGGAGAGACAGGACACCGGACCTGAGCTAGCCAAAGGCGTATTCCATACATACCACAGCACGTCGTGCTCAGTACTGGGGGGAATAAAAAAACTGGGGGGAAATAAGGAGCTGTTGTTTATTTTTTCATGCTTTAAGATAGAGATCGTGTAAACCAGGCACAGGCTGTCAATCAGAGAAAACAGTGGATTAAATGATAAAAAATTAAAAATCTGTATGAAAAATTATGTACTCACCCAAAAGAGAGAAAATTATTTGCAAAGAAGCTAATATTGTTTCTTTGCATGCAGGGATTTTAAATGGAGGACATAAACCAGCAACCTCCCTGTACACAGGTATTTCTCCCATTTTACTTTCTGTGGTAGAGACTAGGCCATGGCATGAAAAAGGCAGTGAGTTGGTCAGCCAGTGTAAATGACCAAACCAGACCTGTACTGGTCCCATTCAGACACCCTGAGAACTTAGCAAACATTTCTGGCTGTGTCCTGTGAGACCATCATGTGTATAATCTGTCTGTTTCTAACAGCAGAGAGCCATGAGGAGATATTTCATAAGGAAGATTTTGCAATACATGTTTACAAACCATTCTCCTACATGAGACAAAGTGACCCTCATTTTGAGTAAGAGGCATGCAAGAAAGATGCTCAGACGTGTTCTCCCTGTGTTTCTGTTTCTTGTCTTTCCAGGGGGCTGTTCATTGCAGTGATTGTGAGTCTGCTCTTCCTTGTGTTATTGAGCTTCACAGCTGGGGTTCTCTTCTGGATTTTCATCTTGGGCATGATTGGAATTATAGGTTATGGTAGGTGTAATTCTCCAGCCTCTGAGGCTATTTTTCCTTCTTGCTTAATTTTGGGCAAGGAAAGTAAGTGATAACACCAGTTAAATGCTGTAGTTGGGAGAACTAGTGCCTACATTTAGACACAGTTAAGTGAGAAGGGCTTAAATGGCAGTGAAATTGAGTAAGAATCCAGCTGTGCTGACACTTAGCACCAGATGTAGTAACCTGAATCAGTTACCCACAGTGTGCTTAGTCCACATCTGCGTGTACTGATCTTGCTTTGCTGCAGATGTGATGTTAGAGCTGACTAGTCTGGCAGTAATGCGTGTTTGGGTTTCGCTTACCTGAAGTGCTGAGGGCAAAACACTTCACTTGTCAAGGTTTAAAACAACCCCAGCCTTGTCTTTGCACTCTTCAGAAACACTCATTTGATCTGGTTTGTTTCTTAACAGGCACGTGGCACGGTTACGACCATCTCGAAGGAATACCTGGATCTGCCCTCACTCTTTGTGATCCTGGATTCCAGAGAGACTTCCGAGTGTACCTGCAGCTGAGGCAAAAGTGGGTAGCGTTTAGTAAGTGCCCTTTAAACTTGTTATCTGTTAATAGATATTCAGGAGATTCAGTTGCTATCTTGCTGCAGTTTCTGCCTTGGTAAATTCCTTCTCTATGTATGGTGCTCATAGAAGGAAGAATTCTCTTTCTTTGTATTGTACAAAAGTCTTTTTCTGCTAGGCTACTAATGTATTTGTAAGGGGACATGATGCAGTCGCACTAGTGGTGAGAGTGAAAAACACTTGTGTTACTAGCATTCTACTTCCTGTGTGTTCAGTCTTCACAATGAGGAATCAGAAGGCAATAACTAAGTCCTGATGAAGATAAGGAGGGGCATTTTTTTCTCTCAGTCTGTGTATGCCCCCTCCTTGGGGGCCTCAGAACTGAGACTAAAAGCTCTGTGCCTCTTTTGTAGACCTGTTTACATTCAGGTCACTGAATTTTCTTGGAGGCTGACCTGAGTCTGTTCAATGAGCCATCACAAATGTCATCACTTCTGGCTTTCAAAAGTGCTGTGCTGCTTTCTCGTACAAGGGCAGTGTATTTAAAACAATCCTATGGCAGCAAGACAGCCTGCAGTGTGTGTCCCTCCCAAGGGAAGGAGTGGCACAAGAGAGAGCAAATACCTGTCAAATACTACAGGCACACAGATACTAACTGATGATAAATAGCACATAACTTGAAACACTGCCCTGAATTGGTAGCTAAATTAACAGAGCAGTAGTTTACTGCTTAAATCTCCTTTCTCTGTTTTGTGTCTTCGTGTAACTGTGTTGGATCATTGAACTGCCAAGCATCTTCTACATATTGTTGAGGCAGAGCTTTTTAGCATGCTGGCCCTAGAGAATATTAAGATTTTAAGTCTTTCCTTGTAACCCCCTTGCCTGATTCTTAGCAGCCAATGCACAGTTTATCCAGAGGTCAGTGTCACTTTCAGATGAGTAAATTGAGGTACTCGGGAATTAAATTACTTTTCCAAAGTCACCCAGCAAATGAGTTAAATGTCCATGTAGAAAACGTAGGTCCTCTTAGTCCTAGTCTAGAACTCAGCACAGACTGACGTTGCTTTCCTTTTCACAGTGCTTGGGACAAGCTACATTAACTTGACAGAGCTGAACTGGATTGAGACCAGCTTCAAAGGAACCTGCTTCTGTATTCCTTCAAGGAGAACCATATAAAAAAAGGGTGCTGGAATGTACGTAACAAAAACTTTGCTCTGAAGAAAGTTGGTGGCTCTGCGTACCACAGGGATTACTTTCCACATGCAGGTCTGATAGCTAGGGGTGCTGATAGTACTTGGGATTGCAATTGAACATCATCTCTGACTATCTGAGTGTGGATTCTGAGACTGTGTCAGATCTGTGGGACCTGAAGCCAATTCTCTGTCCCCGTGCAAACCTCCAGACACCCTGCGGCTGAGGAATACCATCCCTTTGTCTTCCTCTGCCTCTGCAAAACTTCTTGGTTTCAGCTGGAGGAGACAGGGCCTGCTGTGTGTAACCATGAACCACTGCTGGGCTGGTTTAAATGTTGTCTAACCCTCTGAGGCACCCGGAATTAACAGATGTGTCTCAGGGTCAGAGGAGGTGTGCTTCAGGAGTTTAAGACTCTGCCTTCTGGAGGTGGTGTCCAGAGAAATCTTCTCCTTCCTATTGCAGCAGTAGGATTTGAACTGACACAAGTAGAAATGAGACAGAAGCTGACTCCTTAAACAAGATCTGGTTTATTAATCAAACACTTCTCACAGCTAAGAGAGGAAATGTTCCAGGACATGGTGCTCTCAGCTCTCTAACTTTAGAGCAAGTTTGTGAGATTCCAGCAGTACAACTGGAAGGTGAAAATTGTTTGTCCAGATCTGTACTGTCTTAGCCTCTTTGGGTTTTTTGATTCAAATGAGGGGAAAGGAGCTCAAGCTGAGCTAAGGCTCAGAAAAGCCTATTGATTTAAGTACATCTACATGTTATAGGAGAGTGCATCTCAGAAAACTTCACTCTTCAGGAAAAAGTTGATTCTTCATCTCCTTTTTCTTTATTGTATCGAAATACCACAAATGAGCAGCATTAGAGTATAAACATGCAAAATGCATGTTATATAAAGCAGCATTTGTTAAGGGTGGATTGTCAGGGTCCTGCCCATTCTGACAAACTCTGGGCGTGTTAGAACTTCCCCTCACAAAGCTATGAAATGGGATTGAAGATTGGCAGCTGCAGTGAGAGGAGGAAAGAGCTGCTCTAGCAGGGAATTCTGTCAAGTTCATGTGCAGTAGTGCAAAACACAAGCGAAGAGGGTGTGAACTACAGAGACAGCCTATTGGTTCAGGTCTTGATAAATCTAACTTTTGTTTGTTTTCAGTGATACTTTGTGGTGGTAAGGTCCTAATCGTACTCATAATCTTCCTAAGGAATCGATCCGGATCGCCATTGCGCTCCTGAAGGAAGGCAGTAGGTACGTTTGCCTAAGTTTTGGGAATATATTTTGAATTTTGTTAAACGGTCTCTGGAGTCTACTCTTCTTGAGCTTCATCTTGCACTACAAAGGGCAGGAAGTTGGGGTTGAAGTACAGCACTGGATTTGTCCTGCCATACAGATAGCATAAAGAACACCAGTTATTTGTCACTGAGACTGTGCTCATAAGAGCTTTCTCTTTTGCAGTAAGACATTTCTTATCTCCCAGCTCCCTGCCTTAAGAGCACATACGCTGTTAGTGGCACCATGTATCCTCTGTGCAAGAAGATGTGTGCAAAGTGTGGGGCACTGTTAATAGGAGCCTAAGACCTATAGCTGCCAGCTTTACTCTGTCATTGGAATGTCTCCAGAGAGACTTAATGCTAGTGGTAGAGGAGTGGTGGTGTTCTGGCTGGGGCTTTTAATTCAGGAAAGACTGGATCCTTATGGCTCCAATCAACCTTTTGTCTGGACATGCATATATCTTGCAGAGAGAAGAGGAGAATTCCATGACCAGACATCGTAATACGGTGTAGTCCAAGGCTCTTTTCAGCTCTGAGTACAGAGGAAAGCAGAGCAGAATGTGAGAGTTAGGAGGCCTCTTCATTTTGTGTTTTCCAAAATCTGTATAGGCTTTATTCACAGTGGTTCCCGGTTAATCCAAGGAGAAAAATGACTGCTACTGCTGAACCCAGGACAATTTCCTATGGGGCTGTGACAGCTGTGTATCCATCTGTCTGTGTACCTCTCTGGAGGAGCAGTCTTCTGGTCTACAAGTCCTTATAATTCTCTGCTTTCACCTTGGCCAAACCAGCATTAAAAGGTCTGTTTGGTCACTTGGCACTTGCTACACCTGTGCACTCTTCCTCACTGGCATGTGATAAAATGGAAATAAAGCAATTTTACAGGTTGTGTACAATGTACAAAAGCATATAGATATTGCTTGGCCTCAGATGATCGAGTTTCTGGTACGCAGGGAGAAGATGGAAGGCATCCCAGCAGTCTTCCCTGGATTTCCCTTAGTCTTGCTGTGGATGACGGCACGCAGACAAGAGCAGCAGCAAGGCTGAGGAAAGAAAAACAAGACTTGACAACATTTGCCCAGCAAAAGCATTACTGGAGTGCTCTAAGCCTATTTGCTAATGCAGTCCAGCAGCATCAAAGCTCTTCGAAACATCAGGGAGTGCCAAAAAATGCAACCACTATGGAGAATGTGCTGGAACCCTGAAAAATGGCTTTAGACTTCTGTTTCCCCCTATTTTCTTTCAAACCCTTTGCTTACTGCCCGTGCAGGACTGGTGTTGGCAGCACACTCTTTTTGCAGCAGCACAGAATGGCCGATGCCTGTGTAGCTGACTCAAACCTGAGGCCAAGGACTATTTGGTGCTTACTGTTGGTAGCTGCCTTCCAGATAAATGTAGAGGGGGATTAAATAAAAACAGCAAACTGGAAAACGGGGAGAAGCATGGGAAAATTGCTGTTTTTCCTGGTTTACAGGTAGGGAAACTGAGGCACAGAAGGCTGAAATCTGGCCAGAGAAGCTCTAAGGGGAGAGGTGGAGAGCTTGAAAAAGACCTGGAGTAGGGCTTTACAAGGACACAACCTGAATTTGCCTTTGACCTAAAGACCTCTCTCCATCTGCGCACCGCCTCTCCGGTGCTTGCTCTTGGGCTTCCCGGAGCCCAAGAGCAAGTGTCTGGCCTGCTGAGGAGCCAGGACAGAAAGCTGCTGCTGGCCATCCCCTACACAGGTCTGCTCAGCATATTGGTGGCACCATTCCGGGTGCCTCTGTGTGTAGGTGATGCCCAGGACCAGCTTTCCATAGCGGCTCCTCAACTGTGGGAGCAGGGGCTGGATGCTTGTGCTCCATGTGCTGTGATTGAGGATACTCGAGAGCACTAAGCACAAGGGCAGTGAAAGAAACATAATAATATGAATGGTTACACCAAAGGAGCCCGAAATGAATTATTTGCTCTGAGACCAGCACCTATTCAGGTAACTAAGTTAGAGGGCTCTGTACCTCCAAAAAACCCCTTGTGAATAGGAAGAGTTTCTCTTTTTCTTCTGGCAGAGTGGAAAAAATGTTGAAGGCTGATGTTGATCTGTGAGAGAGACTTTTTTAGGGGCTTCACATGTGTGAGGCAAATAGGATCATTCTGTTGAAGCAGAGTAGTTTGGGGTTTTTATGTGTTTTATGGGCAGGTGACTGTGTCCTGAAAGAAAACTCTGTAATTCTGTACACCACTGTTTTTCTTGCACTAGTAAGAACAAAGAAAAGGTATTTGAAGCAGTTGTGGAAATAAGTCGTTACGTATTAAAATTTCTTTAGCCTTACAGAAATTCTAATTAGTCAGAATCAATATGAAAGGATTTTCTAAAATGCCTGTGGAAAGAGAATAGGAGACGCCTGAATTGGAGTCACTCTAGGTTATGGAAGTTGTCTCAGCTGAGAGAAGCTGTAATCACTGATTAGTTAATACTCTGGCTATAGCTGCATGTAGTTGGATAATTTGGCGTTTTGCTTGAGCCAAATTCATTTTAGAACATCCTTGAACTGTTCACTGTCTTGGTTGTGAAAGTTTGGGATTAGTGATTACTCTTCAGTTGATAAAGCACAAGAAGGAACTTGAATCCGTAGGTTAAAAATTTAACTTAAAATGCGTTAATTTTTAACTTCCATTATTTTTGCAATGCACCTGGGACTGGAGCCTTGCTTTCCTGTTTTTTAGGCAATGTGGCTAGGCTATCCTGGAACCAGTGGGGCATTATTCATGGATTATATCATCACAGATAAAGAAACTTCTCCAGTTGAGGTGGCTGAGCAGTATTCAGAGAAATTGGCGTACATGCCAAACACTTTCTTTATTGGAGACCACGCCAACATGTTCCCCCATCTGAAGGTATGTTGGAAGATAAGGCAACAAAAGTAGATGTTGTCCATAGTTGTGTTTATAAAATGGCATTTAGTATATTACTTGGTAAGAGCTCTTTTAACTTTTTTAAAACTTTTTTTTTTTAACAGAAAAAAGCAGTCATTGATTTCAAGTCCAATGGTCATATTTATGATAACAGAATTGTTTTGAATGGCATTGACTTGAAGGCTTTCCTTGACAGCCTCCCTGATGTCAAGATTGTTAAGGTGAGAGCTACTCCTTGGTGCATTCAGTCTTAGGGCCTGAAGCTAGTACTTTCTCTGATGCTTACGTGATTTATCTTAGATGAAGTCTCCTGACAGTTGTGACAACGCAGACAGCAGTGCTGCTCTCAGTATGCCAGTCATTCCTATGAACACAATTGCAGAAGCTGTGATTGAGATGATTAATCGTGGGCAAATTCAGATAACTATCAATGGATTCAACATCAGTAATGGACTAGCAACTACTCAGGTGAGGCATTTAATTTTCTTGAGGTTTATATATATGTGTGTGTGTGTGTGTGTGTGTTAACATAGCAAGGAAGAACGTCCTCCATGCTGTCTGTTTCCACCTTGATTTGTTTAGTTCTCATACTTGGGAAATTCACAAATATGTTATAAGCCACAAATGTCCTGGAACATTGAACTTTCCCCCACAAAGATAGAAAAGTTGTATCAAGAAGTGTCTGAAGTCCAAAGGAATTTAATTTTGTTGCATAAACAAAACACTTGGCTGTTCAGAATCTGAAGACAAGATGTACTCACTGCCTGCAGCCTACAGGGCATTTGTAAGTTGTTACTCAGTTTCAGTTGTGATTTTCCTTTAGAAAAAAAAAGATGGATAACACAGGCAAAGTTATTCCACTGTGTCTCAACAATGTTTATCTCCTTACATCCTTTTGAACTATGTAATATACCACCAGCCCACAGTGCTTTACAGTTCATGGGATTTTAGTGATGGTGACAGTTACTGGTTTTGTTTAATGCTTCTTCCTTTTCAAAACAGTTACTCCTTTTTGAAAACACCGTATTTTGCATTGGCATAACTCTGTAGACTTCTGAATTTTTAATTTACAGTCTTCAGGAGACTCATATAAATTTACACAAGACCTTTTATTATGACTGTTCTGTCCATGTGTTGTATCACGCCTTGGTTTTGTTTTACAAGTTTTGTTCACAGCTGAACACAGTTCAGCTTTTATTTAAGTTGGTAATAGGTTATGTTTTAGTTCAGCTGATAAGTTTATTAGCATTTTTTCCTGAAATTATTCTTCTCTGAGCATAATAGAGAATTCTTGTCTTGGCACTCCACCACTAAGATGAAGCAATATAAGCTCTGTTGGCATGCTTTTAAAAGAGGATTTCTATATATTGATCATAATATTATAACCTTTCTTTGTGCATGTTCTAATTTAATATCAGCTACTTTTGGGCATAGGTCAGTGAAAACTCTGCATTGTGTTTTTGAGGTCTCCTTAGTGACCTGTAAAGGAGCACTGTTACTAACTTATTGAACTAAATTATCTTTGCATCTTCTAATAGAATCAGTGACTGAGATATTGTCGTTCATGTCAAATTAGTGAACAGTATGTTTATTCTGGCTGGCTGCCCTGCCACTGGGCTAAATGTTAAATATGTATGGAGAAGAAAGAAAAAAACCAACCAAATAAGACTCTGTGTTCTGTCTGTACTGTAGGGTTTGTCTTTGATCCCTCCGTTGGCTGTCATTATTAAAAAAAATAATAAAAATTTACAACCATACTTCATTTTACTAGTCCTAGGGAGCTACAGCAAGGGCATGAAGATGCTCAGTGTTGTGTGCCTTGGTGGTTGCAGTGTTGTGGTATCCACAAGCATGCATGCATAGCAGTTAAATTCTTGTTGTGGGAAGGTAGATAATTATCATTTGGTATAATGATTGGTATAATGATTTGGGTATAATAACCCAAAGATACAGTTCCAGTAATGGGTGGTGCTGAGGGGTGGTGCAGTGTTTCTCTGTCTTCCAAGTCGAGTTCTTACACTTTCAGTGTTGCAGTAGTGTTTGTTTGGGGTTTTTTTAAATTTTTATTTTTCTTTAGATTAACAACAAAGCAGCCACTGGTGAAGAAGTTCCGCGCACTATAATTGTTACTACCTGTTCTCAGTATGGCTTACCAGAGGATGCTGTTGTATACTGTAACTTTAATCAGTTGTATAAGATTGATCCTTCCACTTTACAGATGTGGGCTAATGTAAGTATCTTTATTTAATACAAAATTTAAGGTCAGAGTTCTGGAACATAGCTGTTCTGTCCAAGTTAGCAAAAACTTCATGCAATTTAAGACTGAAAATGTTCTGTGGAATACACTGACCTTGAGCTATTTGTCTTCTTATGATGCTCATGTTGCAGTACTTGGTGTTAACAGAAAACAGAGTTTTTTAGATTGCTTTCAAACCACATCTGTGCTTTTACCCAGTTAAAAATCTTGTTAAGCTCAAGTATTACATTGTGAAACAAGTTTGGTCTTCCTTAGTCTGCACAGTTAAGTCATGGAATCGTAGGATGGTTTGGATTGGAAAGGACCTTAAGAACATCCAGTTCCAATCCCCTGCCATGAACAGGGACACCTTCCAGTAGAGCAGGTTGCTCCAATCTCTGTCCAGCCTGGCCTTGAACACTGCCAGGAACGCAGCAGTCAAGGCTTCGCTGGGCAGCTGGTGCCAGTATCTCACCACTCTCACAGTAAAGAACTTCCTCCTTATATCTAACCTAAGTCTTCCCTGTTTAAGTTTAAACCCATTCCCCCTTGCCCTGTCACTACAGTCCCTGATGAGGGGTCCCTCTCCAGCATCCTTGTAAGCTCCTTCCAGATACTGGAAGGCTGCTATGAGGTCTCCATGCAGACTTTTATTCTTCAGGATGAATAGCCCCAGTTATTTACTGGGCTTAGCACTTGATGGATTTATAGATCTGTGCAGTGAGCAGGTATCATGGTTCAGTTTATAGTGTACTGCTGAAAATTACTTGAGCGATAATTTTTTGGATTCCATAATACAGGCCTATAAATAAATAAAGGACCTCATAAGTTTCAGTACTTGCTTTTTAAGTTCTGCTCTGCGAAGTACTGCTCAGAGTTGCAGTTTCTCTCAGTGGGATTAGGTAGAAATGTAATCGTAGTTACTCTGCTTGAAATAGTGATGTGGTTTTGTTGGGTTTTTTTTTTCCCTGCTTTATACCTCAGAAGACTATAGTACTACACTTTTTGCTTCATTTGGTATGTGGTAATTCCTTGTTAAAAAAAGGAGATTTTTTTATGACTGAACTTTATGAATTTGCTTCTTATTTTTTGTTATAGATCCTAAAAAGAGTTCCAAACAGCGTGCTGTGGCTGCTGCGCTTCCCAGCTGTAGGAGAACCCAATATTCAGCAGTACGCACAAAACTTGGGTCTTTCCCAAAACAGAATAATCTTTTCTCCTGTTGCCCCCAAAGAAGAACACGTGAGGAGAGGACAGTTGGCTGATGTTTGTCTAGACACTCCACTTTGCAATGGGCACACAACTGGGATGGATGTACTCTGGGCTGGGACTCCAATGGTCACTATGCCAGGTAATGCAGTGGGGGAACCTGCATAGAACAGATCATAGAATAGTTTAGATTGAAAGAGACCCTCAGTGGTCATCTTAGTCCACTACCCGACTCCTCCATGAGCAGAGCCATGTTCAACCAGACTAGGTTGCTCAGAACCACATCCAGCCTGGCCTGCAATGTCTCCAAGGATGGGGCATCCACCACCTCTCTGGGCAGCCTGTGCCAGGATTTTACCATCCTCACTCTACAAAGTTTCTTCCCCTTTTCCAGCCTCAATCTCCCTCTTTTTAAACCCATCACCCCTCATCCTGCTGCAACAGCCCCTGCTGAAAAGTCTCCTCCCATCTTTCTTATAGGCCGCTTTTAAGCACTCAAAGGCTGCAGTAAGGTCTCCCCAGAGTCTTCTCCAGCTGAACAGCACCAACTCTCTCAGCCTTTACTTACAGGAGAGGTGCTCCAGCCCCTGATGGATTTTGTGGTCCTTCTCTGGACCCTCTCCAACAGGTTCATGTCTTTCCTGTCCTGAGGACTCCAGAGCTGGATGCAGGACTGCAGGGGCATCTCACCAGAGCAGAGTAAGGGGCAGAATAACCTCCCTTGACCTGCTGGCCATGCTCCTCTGGATGCAGCCCAAGACACAGTTGGCCTTCTGGGCTGTGAGCACACACTGCCAGGTCATGGATTTGAATATAGTTAATTTTAAAACAATAAACAGCAAGCCCAGCAGATGTTGCTGCCTCTTGTAGATGCAGAAGTATGTCATGCACTGTAGCATGTTACTTGGTAAGTTTACTTCTGTATTAATTTTTTTGTTTGTTTGTTTACAGGCAAGACTCTTGCATCACGTGTTGCTGCCTCCCAGCTTACTTGCCTGGGTTGTCTGGAGCTCATTGCAAAAAGTAGACAGGAATATGAAGATATTGCTGTGAAACTGGGAACTGATCTGGAATAGTAAGCAAACTTGTACTGTATAATGTGTTAACAATAAGAAAGGAAAGTGCTGGCACAGTGCTGAGACCAGTACTTTTAATCTTGCAAATCTTTTAACATTTAAAGGAGCTGGGCAATCTTCATCTAGAGCTTTCTTGCCTTGCAGTTAAGTCAGGTTCTGCTTTTACAGTAAGCTTAATGGTGCCGCCTGTTTTGAAGAAATTGCCATTTGCAGTCAGTTTACCTTTTCGTTGGTGGTTTAGTTTTTTTTAAATTGAAAATTAAGCAGTTTCTCACATACTGCAAGTTAAAATAAACCTGTAAAGTTCCTGTAGTAATGCAGCGAGTTAGTGCATTAATGCTGCAGCTCTTCTGAGTTGAGGTGATCATGCTGGTCTGTATCAGAAATTATAAGGGGATGAAACAGTATGAATTTGGTGGAAGTGGGGGAGCAGATATTTTTGAAACAGTTGTACTGGCAGTTCTGGGTTAGCTGGAAAGTGCTTGGAACCTTGTGGCCTCTTTAACTTGGGGTTTGGGTTTTGTTTTTTTTGTCTTTTTTTTTGGTAGCCTGAAAAAAGTTCACGGCAAAGTCTGGAAGCAGAGAATATCCAGTCCTTTGTTTAACACGAAACAGTACACAATGGACCTGGAGTGGCTTTATCTTCAGATGTGGGATCACTATGCTGCTGGCAACAAACCGGACCACATGATTAAGCCAGTAGAGGCCAGTGAGTCTGCATGAAGAGACAGCATGCCCACCTGGAATTCTCCAGGAACTGAGCCTCTTAAAACACTTCTGTTGAGATGATGAGCTGAAACTGTGCATTTCTACTTAAACTGCCTGGTACTCTGTGGCTGAAGTAATACATGACAGTGATTAAAGCACAGCCAGACTTCTTTCTTGCATGATAGGGAAAGACTCATTAAGAGCCTCAGATCCTTTTATTCCATGAGGAGTTTGAATGGGATTGAGCTGTGTACATGTGAGCCTGTGTGTATGAATGACATAGTGGTTGCTGGGGGAAGTTTGAACTGCCCAACCAAATATTATGACTTCATGGACTGATTTAATCTTCCTACAAATCTCTCTCCTTTTATGTGGACTGGGAATTGGAGCATTTAAACATTGCATTTTGGGTAGTCCTTCTGGTATATGTGTGGTTAATTAATGTGGCTCCCTGCATTAAATCCTAAACTGTGTGGATTGAAAGGGCAGATTTGCTGGTGGAGTTTGTTGTGTTTTTGTTTTGGTTTTTTTTTTTTTTTTAATAGGTTTCATAAACCACGAGCCTGCATCAGCCTTCTAATGTTTGACCTCTTATTTTGGAGCTCTCTATAATGCGTTGGTTTAGATAAAGACTTTGGGCTTTTTTTTGTTTAGTTTTTAAGCTTCTCGAGTAACTCAGCTGATTGGCTTCATTAAGCAGCTGTTTATAAAACCAGATTTGATTTGAAATTAATTCTCCCCACAAGTGTTTGAGGTAAACACAAACTGGTGCCAAATACAGCTCTTTCAGGAATTATTGTTAACTATGTATAGAGGCTCAGTCCTAGGTACTGTAGCAAGGACGTGAAACAGAAAATAAAGCTTTGGTTTGCCAGTTTGATTTGACCAGTGTTTCACGTTTGCTGCTGCCCTTGTGCTGTTGCTAGAGAAGTATTCTGAATGGCTGGCCTTGCTTCTTTCTTTCTGTAATTTTGTTTTAAATAGTGCTATTTAAATTTGTATGTATTTATTTAAAAAGCAGAAATAATGTCCAGTAAGTGCAGGTCTTGCACACAGACGTTTCTGTTAGACTAAACCCACCCAACCATGAAAGCTCTGGTGTGTGTGCCTGCTTAATTCCCAAGTGTTATTGGGGGCTCACACCAGCTTGTTTCTTCTGCCCTTCCCGATGCTGTTAACTCGCACACTGTATTATCTTGCAGGTCAAGGACTGTGTGTAAATTACTGGTTTTGTTTTCAATAAGCAACACCAACATTCCCCAGCTCCCCGCTCACCAGTGGGTCAATATAAACGAGTGTCAACCTCGCTCATCGTGCCATTGAGTTTTGTCTCCTGGTTGCGGTTGGCTTGGCCTCCCGTTAATGCCGGGGCTGCTGCTCCATGCCGGGGCTGCCGCTCCCTCCCGGGGAGCGGCGGTAGCGGGGCCGCGGTTGCTCTCCTCTCTCTGGCGCCGCGGGCGCTAGGGCGCCTCGCTCGTGCTGGTGGCTTCGGACGCGCTTGCAGCCGCGGTTTCTCCCCACTCCATGCGCAGGCGCGGAGTCGCGCGCAGGCGGCCCAGCCCGGTGCCCCGGAAGCGCTGCGAAGGGGCGCGCGCGGTTTAAAGCGGATGGAGAAGGCGGCGGTGCGTGGGGTGCCTTCGCCTTTCCCCGGCCGGGCCTGGCGCTGCGCTCTGCTCACGGTCTCTTTCCTTTGCAGCTCGAGGCGGCGCGGGACGGGGCTCCACCGCAGCAGAGAGGCCTGCAGGCCTGCTGGGGCGGTGAGGGCCGCGGGGAGCGCCCCGCCGCTGCCATACCCCCACACGGTCAGTGCGGGGCCGGGCCCCGCTCCGGCGGCGGCTCCTCCAGCTCCTGCGATGGCGGCTCCTGCTGTGGTTTGGCTTCGGGTGGCAGCAGCACGGGGAGAGAGAGGTGAGGAGGCGGTCGGCTGGGCGCAGCCCCGGCACCCTCTCCTGCAGTGTGCTTCCTGACTGTGTTGAAACTTAGCTTCAGGTTAGGGCTTCAAATGTTTTACAATAGTTGATTGGTATTAGGATGTATCAAAATTATAGTCTTTGAGATACTTTGGGGGTACTGCTAGATGAAAGGTTGGACATGACCTGGCAGTGTATGCTCACAGCCCAGAAGGCCAATTGTGTCTTGGGCTGCATCCAGAGGAGCATGGCCAGCAGGTCAAGGGAGGTTATTCTGCCCCTTACTCTGCTCTGGTGAGATGCCCCTGCAGTCCTGCATCCAGCTCTGGAGTCCTCAGGACAGGAAAGACATGAACCTGTTGGAGAGGGTCCAGAGAAGGACCACAAAATCCATCAGGGGCTGGAGCACCTCTCCTGTAAGTAAAGGCTGAGAGAGTTGGTGCTGTTCAGCTGGAGAAGACTCTGGGGAGACCTTACTGCAGCCTTTGAGTGCTTAAAAGCAGCCTATAAGAAAGATGGGAGGAGACTTTTCAGCAGGGGCTGTTGCAGCAGGATGAGGGGTGATGGGTTTAAAAAGAGGGAGATTGAGGCTGGAAAAGGGGAAGAAACTTTGTAGAGTGAGGATGGTAAAATCCTGGCACAGGCTGCCCAGAGAGGTGGTGGATGCCCCATCCTTGGAGACATTGCAGGCCAGGCTGGATGTGGTTCTGAGCAACCTAGTCTGGTTGAACATGTCTCTGCTCATGGAGGAGTCGGGTAGTGGACTAAGATGACCACTGAGGGTCCCTTCCAACCCAAACTATTCTATGATAAATTTGAGCAACTTTGATGTAGTTAAAAGAAGCTGTCTTCATATCTTTAAACAATTGCATAATGCATTTTTTAACTTGTTAATGTTTGGGTTTTGTCAGAATAGGAATTAAACAATTTGGTAGGAGTATTTCGTCTTGCCTCTACATCTGCATGAGAATTCCAGTGGAAGTGCCAATGCATCTATCTGCATCTTAAAAGAGCTTTAGGAAAGCTGCTGTTTGTTAAATATTCATAGCAGCTGTGTTAAAGTGCACTTTATACAGATAGCAGCTGTGTTAAAGTGCACTTTATACAGAAGTAACTTGTTTTTTCTTGTATATTTTGGGGTTTCAGACTTCATACAACGCAGCATCCTCTGCCTGATCATATACCATGTGTAAGATGAGAAACAAGCTTTATGTCCCTTCTGAATACTGATAAATACTTAAATTTGAATTGAAGCCAATGTAATGGTCTAAGCTTGTGTCTTCAGATGGTTCAACTGTTTAGATTTTGGCAGTGAATGATTGCAACTTGAATATTGAATTTATATAGTTGTTATAAATTTAATATGCTAGTTCTAATATTTCTATTTAAAATTAAACAGTTCAGCCTATTTGAGACATTCAGTGATTATTTCAGTGTGTATTTGCTTCTTGGTGGTCACAGGTACTTCAGGGGAGATGCAGATGTACTTGCTGTTGGCCTAATGTTCTTGATACTATTCTGCGTTTAATTTTTTGCAGCGATGCCCTGTACGTCTCTTCCAGCAGTGATGATGAATTTGAAATGTGTGAGTAATAGCACATCAGGGTTTTTTCCTCTGAAGGAGTATGAAAGTGACATGTCTAATTAGAGTGAAGTAGTTTTTATGCATTATTTTATTTCCTTGCTCCTGCTGCAAAGTACATTTTCTCCTTGCAATGCGGTGTTGGTAGCTGTATGCCACAGGAGTGTTCTTGGATCTTACGTCTCAATCCTCCATGCTTTTTGCCTTGCATTATTTGTCTTGGTGCCTCGGTTTTGTCTGTTCCCTATAACTTGCTTTCTTCTTAGACTATAGACCATCTTTGAATAACCATTTTCTCTAAGCAGTTGCTGTTCCAAACATGTCTAAACTACTCAGAATTCCCTCTTGCATGCTTTTCCTTCATAGACTCTTAACCACTTAGGATGTTTTGGGGTTTTGATAGTGGCTGAAGGTCTTGGTATTGTGGAACTGCATACTGAATTTTACATGGTGTCTTCTGCTGTCCATAACTTTGTATCTAGCCTATACATACAAAACCTGATGTCTGCACTTTTCTTTTTCTTAATAGCCTTTAATGACTATTATTTTGTGCTAGAGTAATTGAGTACACAGTAGTTTGGGGTTTTTTGCCCTGTTGCAAGAGTTCTATTTAGCTTGCTCCTTAGATGAACTAATCATGGCTCTACCACACCTCAAGTGGGTTTCAAGCTGATGAGTAGTTTAAAGGTTTATGTTTGCAGTATGTTCCTCATTATGTATTCAAGATTTGAACAGAGATGGTAGTAGAAATGGTAAGACAAGAAGTCATATCTGTTTATTTTGCCTTCTGCATACCGTTCTTCTGTTAGTCCAGCTGCTTTTAAAGCAGGTTTCTCATTACTTTAGAGTTTATACTGTGCTCCATCTCAGTGCTGTGTGAATGATCTTAAGCATTGTCAAGCCTTACTGCTTACATCCAGTTGAATTAAAACATGATGTATATAGTTCACTGCATTACTATTGGGCTTTCAGATCTGATAAATGTTTCAATACTGTCCGTTCATTAAGTTATTAGCTCCCTCCCTGTAATTTTTAAAGTTATTTGATAGTCTGCTCTATTTTTCTACTCTTTTATTTTCTTTTTTTTTTGACTCAGTCTGGGAAGCTCTTGAGGCCGAAGTCAAGTGTCAGCTCTGGTATGGAAGGTAGCTGAGAGTAACTAATTGGATCTTAGAGCAGAATATTTGAAAAGCTGCTCTATTGCCATGCTATCACTATACTGAAAATTTCAGGAAAGGGTGAAGGAAAAATATGTGCCAAGAGATGAGAAAGTAAAGGGAATTGATTTATTAAGTAGCAAGTTGTATTTGTCTGTAAGCCTTTGTCTGCTGGCATTTGTTCTTCAGTGAGCCACCTTGATGAAGTGAATTGGAAGGCAGCAGATGCCATGGTTACTTCTTTTGTGATGAAGGTAGTGGTGAAGACTGCCAGGTGCTAAAGTTGAAAATAACTCACTGCTCCAAACACTCTTTGAGCTTCAAGTTCCTGAATTCTTTTTTACCCTTCCCCCTGTGCTCTTCTTCAAAGATGATAACATTCAGTCCCATGCTCTGCTTATGGCACAGTGCAAAAGTTTATAATCCCGTTGAAGTCATGCATGCAGCTTTGGACTGGGAGAGCAAACACTCCTTAAGTGCTCTTGTGGCTAGTTGCGTTTTGATGAAGGGACAATGGTTTCCTTTCTCCCTAGCCTGATTTATGCTTTAATGAAGTTTGTTCCCCTTCAGCTTTCTTGAATCTCTCATAATAATTGTGTATGAAATTTTGATGGCATTTTTTTAAGACTCACTGCTTCAAGCATGTGCAGTTACCACTGCTTGAATGGTGTTTTTGTTGTTAGCAGTCACCACAGTATTCCTGAAGTGATTAAAATACAGTGGGGTATTGTTACCATTTTGTTTGACTTTTTGGGGGGGAGGGGGATGGGTTTTGGGTTTTTTTTGGGGGGTGGTGTGGTTTTGGTTTTTTGTTGTTGTTTTTGAGTCTCTTACTGGAATAACCATATGGACAACTCTTTGCAGCAGAAAAGCTATTAACCTGCAGGTACTGAAATGCTTGGAGAAAATATTGATAAACCCATTCAATTCCATCCCCAATGGTCCACATATATGAGAAGACTCTACTGGATACTGCAAGATACATAACAGCCCTTCTCTGGCTTTGGGCTGCACAAGGATTGATTATGAAGGAAATGCTAGAAAGCTGCTGTCAGCTTTAAGGAATTGAGAGTTGGAATTATATATAAAGGATTCTTATGTTTGGTAGCTGTTTTAGTTTTTTTTTGTGTGTGTTTTTTTTGTTGTTTTTTTGTTTGTTTGGTTTTTAAGATTTTAGACCAAATTATTACTAAAATTTTCTTCTTAGAAAAGCATAACAAAAGAAATGGAACCTTGTTCTTAATGATGTTTTCTTTTTTCAGTTTTAGCTAGAATGAAAACTCCAAAATCTGTTTCAAAAAAGGCATACGTGAGGTGGGTGCTGTAATTAATGGCTTCTATATATTAGGTTTCTGTATCACATCTCCTATTCAGAATACAGAAAAATTAGTAGAAGTTTTAGTGGCTCATAGGCAGATGTGTTTATAGGAGTGAGCACAGACAGAAGTTGGTGTTCAGTTTGTATGTTCAGGTCAAATGTAAAATGGTGTGTTTGGAGGTGTACATGCTCTGTTGCCATTCCTATTAATGAACAGGGTTGGTAACATTTGCTGAGAGCAGCTGATGATGTTATAGTGTGTGGTTTTTTTTTTTTTTGTTTGCCTTTTTTTTTGCTAAGGCATACTTACTCTTGTATTTTCCTGTTTATGCCTCCCCTTTTTCATGTTATTTGTTCATTTTGCAGTTTGAAGGACTCAATCGGTGATTTGGATGATTTCTGCTTGGACTTGAAAGTGAGAAAAAGCCCAACAAAGCATGGCAAGTCAACAGCAAATACAGAGAAGGCATTTTAATGGGTGGAAAGTTAGCATTCATTTCTGAGCTCATAAATTTCTGGGAGATCTTGTTAAACATAAGTTCACTTTGTCTCTTGCTTGAGGCTTTTCTGTTTCCCATGGGAGTAAAAGAAGAAAGTATGCTCATACTGTTCTGACAAGTATATATTTTGAAGCATTGCTATAGATCTGTAGATACAGACTGTGATCACTATGAAGAGAGGACATAGGATATGCAAATTAGTGTTCCAGTGGCTGTAGTGGCTCATTCTGTGGTCAAAAGACACTGAGTAAAGAAAGGAGGTAATTGTTGGTTAGCTAGATACCTTTGATTCAGTGCACGTTTTGGCCAAGGTGTTGCAGAGCCACAGATAATGCTTTAATTTGGAGCTTCTTTAGCCAAGGTCCTTTGCGTAATCCTGTTAACACTGGCTACAAGATGCTCAAGCAAACCATTACTTGTGGGGCTTCAGTGCTTGTCTGGGCAGAGGATCCCTGTTTTCCCCCAAAGGATGGAAAGTGTCTTGGTTTACAAACATTCAGAGCCTGACTACACCTGTCTGGTGCACTTCCAATTGATAAGTGCAAGCTGGGCTTCAGTAGAATGAGTGAACAGGGCTGTGGAATTCTTCACACAGCCAGTAGGCCAGTGATCAGGTGATAGAATTTTGGTAAATGAGGGATAATAACAGTGATCTCATGTAAACGTGGAGAAGCTTTGACCCCTGATGAAGAAGGATGGGATTGTTTGCAGCTGGTGAGAATGTCAAACTTGAAACATGTATACCAACTGCAGGCTGTAAAAAGCTATTGGAATGGTTTCTGGAAGTGAAGTGGAGGAAGCACAGTGCACCAGAAGCATCATTAAAATTAAAAATAAGTCACCAAGAGATCTGACCTGATCCCTTGTTCCTGATAGGTCGAATTTGAGATGTTAGAAGCCTTGTTTGTTGGTAGATGTGCGGTTTGTGCTGTAGGCTATGGTCTGATCTTCACTTGGTGGTTGTATAAAACTTTAATATGAAATGTTCAGCTTCTACATGCACATAGCTTTTGTTACTGGGAATGAAAATCATGCCAGCATTAGTTACTACTTAGAATTGTTAGGCTTGATGGCTTAGGTGTACATGCATGTGGTTTAAGGTAATTAAAAAAAAAAGTATTAAAAAAATACATCTTTTGGTGACTTTCCATTTAGTATGACGATAAATGGGCAAGGTATAACAAAGCAAATGGGAAGGTATGTTTCTATTCTTTGTATTTACTTATCTTTTTCAAGGACTTTTTTTCTTTTTTTCTGTTAAGACAGAGGTAAATTTCCTAAAAGAAATTATTAAAACTTTAAGCTGTTTCTTTTGAATTGCAGGACAGAAGGATCTTCAGACCACGAAGAAGTGGATGCCTTCTGGAAAGAAAAACAGTTGCTGTCAGGAACTGCAGTATCCAGAGGCTTCAAGTGACACTGATGATTCTGTCTTTGTAGAATCTGACTACCAGAAAGGGTGAGTAAAAGACCTGAAAGAGAGTCAGAAATGGATAAAACTCCCACCTCCACAAAATCTAAGAGAGTCAATCTCCAGAGGCAGTCCAGACTTGCAACCCAGAAGGAGAGAAAGGAGCTGTGAAAAAAGTACAGAAAATAACGTGCCAACTGTGACATTACAACAAAGTACAGAGATAGAATCAGATAGCTCGGATGGTGAATTTGAATCATTAATAGAACAGATAAGGAAAGGAAGTATAGCTCAAAACCTTATCTTAAGCACAAATAAAACTGTCCACCAACCAAGCACAAGAGGTGAGCAGTTGTTCTTGGCGGACTTGCAAGCTGCTGACAGCAGTGGTGTAGTGCTGATTGCCTAATTATTTTCATTTGTGTGGCATATGTTTTAGAAGTGCAACCCAGTATCTTGCACTTGAATTTGATGCAATCAGAAATTATTCCTCTGAGTACTGTGATTCTATTAGTCTTGTGGTATCAAAGTTTAAGTTTTTCAGCATTGCTTGTTTTTATAATTCCTGTAACTGTAGTCATTTTAAAAATTGTTCTTAAAAAAAAATCTAACTGGTGGTTTTGAATGATGTTCCCCAGCCAACAGAGAAAAGGCCTACTGAAACCGCAGACCTTGAAGCAGTCCTTGATTTCTGGTGTGAGGGTCACTCATTTTACTAGTCTGTCCAGATGTGGAATGGGGATATAGGTAGCTATCTGATCACAACTTGATTGTGAAACAAATAATGTGACTTACGGTACATGACGGAAGGTTAAAGTAATTTTTTTTCTTCAAATGGTGTCTCTGCATTACTGCTCCCAGTGTTCTGGTGGTGTATTTTGAATTGTGAAGTGTTACAGAAATACCTAAGTGAGGTCACAAATGCTTTTCCCTCCAGTTCCTCCTAGCTGAATGTTTGAAAGCTTGACGTCTGCCACTCCTTCATAGAATGTCAATTTTTGTACTATATAACAGCAGATTACCTTTCCCTCAGTTGTATAAGACTTTGTATTCAAGTATGCACAGTAAGAGTGTGTGTGCTGAGGTGGAGTATTTAACTTTTTCATCTTTGTCTTACTTAGTTGCTGATGTCTGTGTTCCATATTCTTTGTAATCCTGTGACTCTTTCTGTTGAACTAGAAAATAACAAGTCACCCTGTGAAGATGGCCAGCCTTTGAAAGGGAAGGGAGTCAAGACACCAAGGCCAAATGCCATTTCACTTCAAGAAACAACTTCCAGGATAATGGCTTCTGCAAGAATTCCTAGGAACAAATTGGCCAGTTGCTCCCAGTCAGCAAAGACAGAGAAAAGGTAAATTTGTTTTTCTGTAGGTTATTTTTTTTTCCTACTATGTTCTGTGACCAAATATAGATGGACAAATAGATGCTAAGCATTTTGCTTAGGATGACATTCTGATTTTTCTGGTACCTAGAAACTTCTGCTACCAAATTACCAGTTGTTAAGTAGCTGTACATCAAAACTTTCAGTCATGGGTGTAACAGGGAGAATATAAACTAATCTCTGCTTAGAGGAATTAATGACTAAAAAATGTGGCAAATACCAGATCTTTTTTGTAAATGGTAGCTCTGTTGCTATTCCTTGTCTTGGCACAGCATACTTCTAACATGGCTGGCCCTATGCATTCTATTTATCCATCTGATATTTGTGACCTCACTTAGGTCACTTAGACGTTTCTGTGACACTTCACCAGTTCATTTAAGCTTTTCAGGAGAACATCCTTTTCATTTATGGTGGTAGCTGCCTTTGTTCTCCTTTTAGCCATGTGATGTTTCCTTTAGTCATTTAATGATTGTTTATACCAATGCAAAACCTTTAAATGGTGTCTTCAAAGCTGATACTTTGTCAGAATGCTGCAGTATTGGAGTTGGTAAAATACCTGCTTCCCCTGAGTTAATTCCTGAGGATTCCCAAAAGGTAAGGGGGATGGAGCGAGGAGATGGCTGGTCTCTTCTCCCAAGGAACAAGTGAGAGGACAAGAGGAAACAGCCTTAAACTGTGCCAGGGGAGGTTTAGACTGGATATTAGGAACAGTTTCTTCCCCAGAAGGTGCTCAGGCATTGGAACAGGCTGCCCAGGGCAGTGGTGGAATCACCATCCCTGGAAGTGTTCACGCACTGTGTAGACAAGGCCTGCAGTGCCATGGGCTAGTGTTGGCCTTGGCAGTGCTGGGGAACAGTTGAACTTTATGATCTTGAAGGTCTTTCCCAAGCTGGTTGGTTTAATAATTTCTCTGTTTCTGAAAACACTCTTTATTGTGGGTGATCGTGTTAGGGCTGTTCAGATATGGATCAAGTTTTGGTATAATAATGGCTCACTGTGTCACAAAGATCTGAGCTACCCTCTTTTCCTATTTAGGAGTCCTCATAATCTAGTTTTGTGAATTAATAAAGTAATTTCAGAACTGTTGATCGAAGGAGGTGATCCTGCCCCTCTCCTCTGCTCTCATGAGACCTCACTTGGAGTGTTGTGTTCAGTTCTGGTGTCCTCAACATAAAAAGGACATGGAGCTGTTTGAGCAAGTCCAGAGGAGGGCCGTGAGGATGATAAGGAGGCTGGAGCACCTCCTGTATAAATATAGGCTGAGAAAGTTGGGGCTGTTCAGCCTGAAGAACAGAAGCTGCATGGAGACATCAGAGCAGCCTTCCAGTATCTGAAGGGGGCTACAGGGATGCTGGGGAGGGACTCTTCATCAGGGACTGTAGTGACAAGATAAAGCGTAATGGGTTAGAACTTAAACAGGGGAAGTTTAGGTTAAATATAAAGAAGAAGTTCTTTACTATGAGGATGGTGAGGCACTGGCATACGTTGCTCAAGGAAATTGTGAATGCTCCGTCCCTGGCAGTGTTCAAGGCCAGCTTGGATAGAGTCTTGGGTGACATGGTCTGGTGTGAGGTGTCCCTGCCTGTGGCAGGAGGGTTGAAACTTGATGATCTTAAGGTCCTTTCCAACCCTAACTGTTCTATGATTCTGTGATTCTGTTGCAACAGCTCTGCTCCTTCATGCCCCTGAAGGGGGAAGAAGATGCTATAAGCCGGTGCTTCCCACTGCCTCCTGAGGGCAAGCCAGAGAAAGGTCAGGAGAGCTTTATGTCAGTGGCAGCATCCCAGAGATCTTTATTGGCTATGAAGTGGCTATTATTTTTCAATTTACTTCAGTAAACTGCTTTATGTTTTTTCTTGCAGGCTCCGGGTGTGCTCAGTGCCTGGCTGTTTCTTGCAAGATCTCTCAAATCCAGGTTCCCACTGTGTGAGGTATTTTAAGAAAAATAAAGAGGAGCTGGCATGGAAACTCTACTGTCTCTATAATAGCACCATCTTTGACCAGAAGGTTGGCTTCAAAACAAAACCTACAATTTTAAAATGTTAAAATGTTGCTTCTTGCCTTTTGATGCGATTGCTCTTTATCCTCTTCAGTTAGTAGAAGCTAAGCAATGGCTTATGTTTGAATTAGTACAAGCAATTTCTTTGAAAGGGTTTTATTACCACTGTGGTGCAGTGGTTTACAGCTTGGCTTGCTTTCCCAGCTGTAGCGGTGTACCATCTGTAAGCGAGCAGTCTGGATGTTGTCCAAGAGTCCTTGATGAGAGAAACTGCTACATGAGGGGCCTTTGATCCATTTCATCTTTGAATGGGTGACTGATACTTATTTTCATGGATTTTATAGTACCTGCAAGGTTATCAGCTAAGCAGCCTGAGAACGTTTTTGTTGCTACCTCTGTGGTAGTAGACTCCAGCAAAGGCAGCTATGGCTTTGCTGCTGAAAGAAGGTTGCATACCACTGTTGCTCATTAAGCTTTTACAGAAGTAACATGTACTAGTGAACTCTTCGGCATTATCATAGCCTAATAGCTAATTGTAACACAACTTTCTAGCCTCCAGCTGACAAAAGGCAAGTGGTGGGAGCATATGTTGGGGATAAGGGAGCTAGCTAATGAGTAAAAGCTCTTCCCTTTGTTGCTAAGGCATGTCATGCAACATGCAGATTTCGTTCGTTCCTATTGCATGTTCATGTTTGCCATTCTGGAATGGACAAAAAAGCTGTTTATTCTTTGACTAACAGTTTTGGGTGAACCTAAAGCTGTAAGCTGTGTTCAAATTGAAGATTCAATTTCAGAGAACTGCTGTCTTGACCTTTAAATCTTCTGGGATACTGGAGATTCTCCTTTGGTGAGAAACATCTGTGAAAGGAAGGATGCTTCTCCCAGTAATTCCAATAGCATTTCCTTCAGGAGGCAAAAGGTGTCTGTGCAGCTGAGAAAATGTTGTGGAGCTGAGCAAGGACACATTGAGGTCATGGGAGCTGAGCTGATCAGGCTCACTACTGCTGAAAGCAAAATATTTTGATTACCAGTGCTTCAGCCGTGTACCTGTACTAGCACTTAGCTACTTAACTACTGCTGGACCATTTATTTAAGCTTATTAACTAATTTGGATGACAAAAAACCTGATAGTAAAAGAAGAGTTAACTGAGATATTATGAGGGGTTATCAAATCAGGAGCAGCACAGAGAATAAGCAAGGGATGATTATTCACCCTCTCGCAGTGTGAAGGTGCGTCAAATTAAAATGGAAAGTTGCAGGTTCATAACAACCAAAGCAAGTGGTACTTGACCTCTAAATTTTTAAGCAGTGGAGCTTCTGATAGGAGACTATAATTGTGGTCTGTGTGCTAACCGTGCACATGTTTAAGAACGTACATACATGTACTCCCCAAAACACCAGAAAACACTTCTAAGGGCTGTTTAATAAAGAGGAACCACCTGTGCCTCAGTGAGGTGGTGTCTTGCAAAATGACTAGCAAAAATAAAAGTCATCTTTTTTGAAGAGGAAATTTTTATGTTTCATTGCTGACCTTGTATTTCCTCTTAAGCAGCATGTGTTAGCCACTGTTGGAGGCAGAATAGAGGAGCCAAAGGACTTTTTGTCTCATCCTGCATTATGAAACTCCCATGTGTTGGTTACAGAAAAACTGATGATGGGAATGACAAGGAGGAGGGTGGGTTTGCATCTTGAATGACAAGAGTGTTAAGGGCACTAACAGGCACATCCTTTGCTGGCTTTGCAGTAAATATAAGGGGAAGCCAGAGGTCCGGAAGGAGAGATGTAGGAGAGGGCAGATTACACATACTGTTTTGTTTTGCAGTTACCAGACAAAATGGAAATAATCTGGAATAAGAAAATGAGAAAAACAGCAGGATATTGTGTAACTGGGCAGACAGAAGGTCCTGAAGCAAAGCGTTACGCTAGAATAGAACTTTCTGAGAAAGTCTGTGACTCTGCAGGTAGGTAAAAGAAAAAATACATTGATTCTTCTGTGAGAAAGCAAGTTCTAGAGATAAAAACATGAATGTGAGGCTTAATTGATATGGAACAGGACCCTGCTTTGATATTTCATATTATCTTAAATAAATAATTCCATTAAGTGTAGTACTTGTTTTCACAACCCTTCTGAGAGGCTAGACAACTTTACAGAAATGTGAGAACAGATACGTTAATGCTAAATGCAATATTTTGCTTATGTTATTGATTTGAAGAACTGTAGGTTACTCATATGTACTATAATGGCAATCTAAAATCTGACTCATCCATCATAACTAGCCACCTTGTTGGTCGTATTTGAATCTGGAATAAAGATAGGTCAGTGTCAAATTAAGTTCTGTTGTGTGGTGGGTACTGTAACTGTTACTTTTCCCTCATCCCCTCTCAATTTGGGGAACTTACTGTTTCACTTACCATAGAAGAACTAGTTCTATAAATGATAGAATATTTTTAAATAAGCTTAATAAATCTTATCATATCTCAGATCATGAGAGATCATAGTATCATAGAATCCCAGACTGGTTTGGACTGGAAGGAACCATAAAGAATATCCATTTCCAACCCGTTGCCATGGGCAGGGACACCTTCCACTAGAGCAGATTGCTCCAAGCCCTGTCTAGCCTTGCCTTGAACACTGCCAGGGATGGGGCCACCACGGGTTGTCTGAGCACCCTGTGCCAGCATCTTGTCACCCTCACAGGGAAGAGCTTCTTCCTAATGTCTCATCTCAGTCTCATTTCAGTCTCCCCTCTGGCAGGTGAAAACCATTCCCCTTGTCGTGTCCCTACAGGCCATTGTCCAAAGCCCCTCTCCAGCTTTCTTGTCGGCCTTTTTATTTATTGGATGACTCATAAGGTGTCCCTGGAGCTTTCCCTTCTTTAGGCTGAACAAGGCTAACTCAGCCTGTCTCCATAGAAGAGGTGCTCCAGAACGAGCATACAACTGCTCTGGAATTACAACAGAGTTCCCTGGGAATCTGCTTTTGAGGGCTTAGTAGTCCACAAGTGCTCATCAGTTTTTAAGATGTACCTTTTAGAAGCAGGGGAGCAAACAGTCCTGTGTTGTAAGTCAAGCAGGCAGGGCAGGAGACTAGCTTGGATGAACAGGGAACTTCTTGTGGAGGTCAAGGGGAAAAAGAAATTGTATGATCTCTGGAAGTAAGGTCTGGCTTTGCAGGAAGGTTACAGAGCTATGGTTTTTATATGCAGGGTGAAGACATGAAAGGCCAGAGCTCATTTGGAGGTGAAACTGGTCAGTGTTGTCAGATAACAAGGAAGGCTTTTTTTAAAGTACGTTAATAGCAAGAGGAGATCTAAAGAAAACATTGGACTGATGTTTGTGATCAGACTTAATAGGGATGAAAGAAAAAGAAGAGGTATTCAATGCTACTTTTTGCCTCAGTCTTTACTAGAACTGTCAGACCTTGGGCTGCTTAGCCTCCTGCGTCAGAGGACTACAAGTGTGGACACTGAAGTTGTAAAGAACCAGCTGTATGTCCGCATACATGTCACAAGTCCATGAGGCCTAATGGGATTCACCGCACAGTACTGAAAGAGTTAGCCAAAGTTATAGCAGGACACCTCTTGATCATCTACAAAAGGTCTTGGGAGCCTGGGGAGGTCCCTGCTGACTAGAAGACAGTCAGTGTTATTCTGGTTTGCAAGAAGGACATGGAGGAAAATGCAGAAAACTAGAGACCTGTTAGTCTAACCTCACTTCCTGCAAAAATTATGGAGATGATTGTATTGGGTACTGTTGAACAACAGTTAAAGAGTAATGCAACTTAAGACGCAGTCAACATGGGTTCACGAAGGGAAAGGCCTGTTTAACTGATTTGATATCCTGCTATGATAAGGTCAGCCACTTAGTGGATGAAGGAAGGCAGTGGATGTAGTTTTTTTTTGTACTTAGTAAGGCTTTTGATACTGTCCCTCACAGCATCCCTCTGGACAAATTGTCCAACTGTGGGATGAATAGGTTCATGGTTTTCTGAGTGAAGAACTGGCTGAAGGGCAGATCTCAAAGGGTCGCAGTACGTGGAACTACATCTGGCTGGTGACGGCTCACCGGTGGTGTTCCTCAGGGTTTCATTATAGGGCCAGTCCTGTTCAATATATTTATCAATTATATGGATTCAGAATTTGAATGCACCTTTAGCAAGTTTGCTGATGATACCAAACTGGGAGAGGTTGTGAACTCTTGAGGGAAGATGGCCTTGCAGAGGAATCTAGCTAGATTGGAGCATTGGGTGATGATTAATGGGATGAAATTTAGCAAAGCCAAATGTTGGATTCTGTACCTGGGATGAAATAATGCTGGGCACAAGTATAAACTGTGAGAGGAATGGCTGCAGCACAGCTCTGCAGAAATGGATCTAGGGTGCTGGTTGACAGCAGGGTCAGTAGGAGCCAGCAGTGTGCCTTGGCAGCCAAGAGGGCAAACTGCATCCTGGGGTGTATCAACCCACAGTATAATTAGCTTGTGAAGAGAAGTCACTATCCTGCTATATTTAGCTTTGGTGTGGCCTCATCTTAAGTGTGTGTGGTTCTGGGCCGCATAACATAGTAAGGACATGAGGTACTTAAATGCATCCAGAGGAGGGCAGCAAAGCTGGTGAAAGGTCTGGAAGAAATGGCCTATGGGGGTGACAAAGGACTTTGAGTTTGTCTAGTTTGGAGAAAAGGAGGCTGAGGGGTGACCTCATTGCTCTGTACAGTTTCCTGAAGAGGGGAATTGCTGAGCTTCTCTCTCTGGTATCTAGAGATAGGCCATATGGGAATGGTTCAGAGCTGTGCTAGGAGACCTTTAGACTGAACATCAGGAAGCATTTCTTTACCATGAGGGTGGTTAAACACTGGAACAGGCTTTCTAGGGAGGTGGTCAATGCAACCCATGCCTGTCAGTGTTTAAGAGGCATTTGGACAATACCCTTAATACTATGCTTTAACTTTTGGTCAGGCAGTTGGACTAAGTAATCACTGTACGTCCCGTCCAACTGAAATATTCCATTCTAATTGTGGAGAAAATTTAGTGCTCTACTCTAGTTGTTTCTGGAGGAAAAATATCAATGTTACAAAAAAAAAATATCAATGAATCTTGGTCTATATAAAGGTGTTTAGGGTCTCATCTAAATAAAAAAAAGAAACAAAAAAAGCCCAACAAAAAACAACCCAGAAAACAAAACAACAACAAAAAAAAAAAGCCCCCAAAACCAAACCAACCAAGCAGAAAAAAACCCAAACAGATTAGGTGTGTAGGGAAGTAACTAGGATGCAGAATTAAGGCTAATCACAAAACTGGAAATCCACTGAGTAAAATCTTGTTTTGGGACATTTTATCTGATCAAAACACTGGTAATTCCAACCTCCAAAATAAGTCATAGAATTGTAGAATGGTTTGGGTTGGAAAGGACCTTAAGATTATCTACTTTCAACCCCTGTCATGGGCAGGGATGTCTCATGCTAGACCATGTCACCCAAGACTGTCCAAGCTGGCTTTGAACACTGCTAGGGATGCAGCATTTACCATTTATTTCGGCAACTTGTTCCAGCACCTCACCACCCTCACAGTAAAGAACTTCTTTGTTAGATCTACCCTGAACTTGCCCTATTTAAGTTTGAACCCATTACATCTTGTCCTATCACTGAAATCCCTGATGAAGTCTTGCATCTCTGTAAGTGTTAAAGCATTGACCAAGGATGAAAGTCTGTACTTCCCTGTACCTGACTGATCTCAGTATCTTTTGTTTGCCTTACCCCAAGATCGTGTTCGAGACACGCTAATTCATGAAGCTTGTCATGCAGCCACCTGGCTGATCAATGGTGTTCGTGATGGACATGGATGATTCTGGAGATACTATGCCAGTAAATCAGCTGTGATTCATCCAGAACTGCCGGTAGTAGCACGTTGCCACAGCTATGAGATTAATTACAAATTCATCTATGAGTGTGATCTGTGCAAAGCTACGTGAGTAATGTTTTGGTCTTGCATATGACTGTGTATTAACTTTGTCTCAAGTTTGGCAGTCTCCTATATCTGGAAATGATGGGTCTGTTAAATTGGGTTACTCTTGAGTTGTCACTTCACGCTTCCTAAGCCGTCAGAACCTCATTATGCCATTCCACATGTTTGTTTTCAGGTAGTCTCAGTTTTATTTCAGAGGTGAGGACAGGCTGAAGTGTCTTCCGAGAACCATTGGTGATGATGGAAGGTCTTTGAGAAGCAGTAAGAGATCAGAATATGTGCCTTAGCTTTTAATGACATGGCAGGAAAAGGTCACCTCATGTGGCTGCTCTCACCTTTCAAACGTTGCTCAAATGATGTAAATTTGGATTCACCTTCTACTGTAGTTTATATTGAGTGAACTTGTGAAAGTTTTTGACCACTTAACTCTGATGTCATGATCAGTTGATCCCATTATAGGCTTTTTGGTAGGAGGAATATTTCCACTCTTACCTGAGTACTACATCAGACAACCAGCTGGGTTCGAAATGACCTTTAAGATCAACTCTAACTGTTATCCCAGGACTGCCAGGTCCACCTCTAAACAATATCAAGAGTAATACTTGTAGGCCTATACTGATAGAACAACGAATGGATCTGGCACATCCCTGTAGAATGCATGTAAGTAAAATACTAGCATTTGTTGCAGAAATGAGCCATTCCAAGTTCATTTGACATCTGTTCACATTTTACATTTTAGAAAGTAACATCTTTGAATGTTACTTTGAATGTGCCAGGACAACAGTCTAGGTTTGATCTAAGGAAAAGCAGTCCACAGGGAGTGCTAGACATATCATGGTCGATTGAATTGCTTTTTATGTTTATCCTTGAAAGATACTGAGGAGCATCTGATACTGAAGGAAGTCAGTAGTAACTGGAATTTAAAAGCAGAACAAATCCCCATAAAAACTAGGCACAAAATGTGTCACAGTATTTAGATACTAGAATAAAGTACCAGTATAAAGTTTCTGGGATTTGTATCTTTGAGTTGAATTAAGACTAAACATTTTTCCTACTCTTGTTATAGTAGTATTAAGTAAAATTTAGAAACCAACAGTGTAATGATTTCTATTGGTTTAAAACTATAAAACCTGTAGCCAGTTTTCTAGTTGATCTTTTATCTCATGGACTCTTTCAGCTTGTGTATCTATTAAAGGAAAATAGATATCTGCAGCCACACAGGCATCAGCAGCACTGTAATGTGAAGAACTGAAGTTGGAGACATACCTACCTATAGATTGCAACACTGGTCATCAGACTTCTGTCTTGCTTACTGCATTTGTTAAATGAGAACTATATGTGCTGCTGAGATCAAGCATAAGTAATAGTTACTATAGTAATTTCCCAGGTTTTTTAACTTTCATGGGTGTGGAAAGAGTCACCTTTTCTTGGAAGATCATATGCAGTGACCTTGGTCTCAGTGGGAGAGCATGAAGTTTAGTGAATTCAGTTCTGCATAGCCTGGGAAAATGGTTGATAATGGTGTGGGGGATTTTAATATTAAAAAAGAATAAATTATCTCCCCCTCCCCCCCTCCTCTTTAAGGGCTAAATTTATCCTTACAAAGCATGCATGGAATTTTTCTTTTTTTTCCATCAGGGCCATGCGTGCTACTTCTAGAAGTGCCAGAGGGAAAGAGTATTTCACATATAAAAGAATCTTCTGGAAGTAGTTAATATGGTTATGCAATGCATTAGTTACTTAGATGCAACAGAGCATTGAGAAGATTCGAATACCTAAAGGGAGCTGACAAGAAGTTTAGAGAGGGACTTCTCACAAGGGTCTGTAGGGACAAGACAAGGGAGAATGGCTTTAAGCTGCCAGAGGTGAGATTAAGATTAGACATTAGGAAGAAATTATTTTCTAAGAGAGTGATGAGGCCCTGGCACAGCCTGCCCAGAGAAGCTGTGGCTACTTCATCCCTGGAAGTGTTCAAGCCAGGTTGGACAGTGCTTGGAGCAACATGGCAGGGGTTGGAACTAAATGAGCCTTAAAGTTCTTTCTAACACAAACCATTCTATGATTCTGTGATAAGATTTCATGGTGATGGCTTTGGGGAGAAACTTGAAGGAGGGGTAGTTCATACATGGGTTGTGGGGGTGTTTTGAATTGTTGCAGCACTTTATACTACTAGACTGAGAGTAAAAGAGACACAAGAAGGACCCAAGCTGAAAAAGCAGTGGAAAAAGTTCTAGGGTAGAGAAATGTATAATACAGATTTGATTGTTCCACTGTGTGAAGTATGTAGTCTGTTCCTTGTTCTAAAGTACTAGCTTAGAAATCTGACCTAAGTATCCTGGCAGAAGAGAAAGGAGCCCTTTCCTCCTACAAGTACTGTCTGCTGCAATTGTGAAATCAAAGTGCTTATTTTTCCATTTCAGGACTGGACGTCATTCCAAGTCTCTGGACACAGAGCACTTTGTGTGTGCATTCTGTGGGGGGCAGCTGGTCCTGAGTCGGCCCACTCGGAAGGGTGGCACTCCTGCTAGGACACGTCTAATGCCCTTTGCAAAGCATGTGGAAGAAAAGTATGGACTTATGAAGAGAGAGCAGCCTGGGCTGAGTCCTGCAGAAGTCGTGCAGGAACTCTGTGCTAATTTTGCTTTAAAAACTAGGCTTAAAGATTCCTTGTAATATCTAAATACACTCCTTTTTTGATGCTATTTAGATTTTGCATGTAGTAGTATATAGCATTAGTCTAAGAATGTGTTTCGGAATATTCCAGATAATATTTTGGCATTAAATACTTCTAATAAAGGAAACCTTACAGATTGTTCTAAAATTGGCAGGAGTGAACAAGAAGTGTAATGGTGATAGAAAGTCCATGGCAATACACAGGTCAGTCTTAGACTTCAGATAAACATCAACTGTGCCTGGGAAAATGCAGTTCAAAGCCCTTCATGGGACTGACTTGTTATGTTTGGAATTTTCTGAACGGTATTTACATGTAGTGCTTCATAGCATGTCTTCAGTGTTTCCAGTGAGCAGTGGATTTACTCTTTCATTTGGGTAGCTGATACACCGTAGACTCTGTGCTGAAGAACTGCTAGGTATTCATCTGTCCATTCCTGCTTGGATGCAAGATGAATCCAGGCCCAAAAACTAAAATCCTTTGGTTTGTCTGGATGGCTTCCAGTGCCACGCCTGAGGAAGGCGTCAATATGGGTTCAGGCATTCTCCCATAGAGTTTCTTGAGTGGTTCTTGGCTGTTTTTTGTTT